CTCCAATCAATAAGGACCCGTGGACGTGACTGACGGCGGGGAGCTGGGGAGGTACTGCAACTTATTAGTTTGCCTTAGGCCTCTTTCTGTCATTTAGGTAGGCAGTCTTAGGACTGGCCTTGGCACCCGCCTGGCTCCTCCCCCACATTTCAAAACAGCCTTGCGACTTTGGGGGTCTGAGCTTCTTCGAGGCTGGGATTTGTCCGGAAGAGCGCGACGACCAAAAGTGATCCGGCGACAGGCCAAGCGCGCAGTGGGCTAATTAGGCGTCGCCATCCATCATCATATCATCGTGCCTAGTCATCCATCGCGACGTTTGACCTCCCCAGCTTTGGCGACTTTTGGCCTCCTTCGACACAACTTGGACGCAAGCGACTGCCTGCGAGCACCATTGCACCCCACCCGATCTACGCCGCCTCCGATTTCTCACCATCAACCGAACTCTGTTGTTTCGAGTGCGCCCATTTCTTCTTCATCATCATCATCACCATATTCTTCATCAGCTTCATCCTCGAGTGCCTGCCTGCCTACAGAGGTACAGAAGCACTCATGGGTCGTGGTAGCCTCGAGGCGTGCGCCCGCTCTTGGTGATCTTCACCTCGCCTCGCCCTCACTCTCCCCATCGCCCACGCGCACAGCTCGCGCCTCCACGATCACCACGATCAACGACCTAACGCACATACACACACACACACACACACATACCATGGCTGCCTCCCCCGATCGCGCCGACGTTCCGCGCGTGAACGGCGACGCTCGCCTCGCCAACGGTCATGGCCCCGACGGCGGCCCCAGCAGCGACTGGGACGCCATCGCCAAGGAAGATGACGAGAACATCATGAAGGCACTCGGTGGCTTTGGCAACGATGGCGAGATGAAGATGCTCGCCGGCTTCGATGACAAAGAGCTGGACCAGACTGGCAAGGCAGACGATGCCATCGATTTTGAGGACTTGAGCGACGACGATCTCGCTTCTGACGACGATAATCTGGTCTCCGACAACGCCCCCGCCACCCAAGGCACGGCCCTCACCGAACCGCCCGCGAGCCTAGACCCTGATGTTGTCCTGGAAGGCGACCCCTACGCCGATGTGGACGGCGATCTGGATGACCTCTTCGGCGGTGCTGATGATGGCGATGTCGTCCTCCCCGCATCATCACCCCCTCCCGACACCCAACCCCCAGCAGTGCCCCAGCCTGCCGAGGATGAAGTCCCTTCTCAGGCCGAGAAGGAGCCCGTGACGGCTGCCAATGTCACCGACGATGAGTGGGCCCACATGTCCTGGGAGGAGAAAGTCCGCCTCAACTTCCCTCAGGAGGAGCCCAACAGTGTCAGCGCTTGGGTCGCCGATCAGACACAGCATCAGGACCCTTCCGTCCCGATACCGCCTCAGAACGTCGAGGAACTCGTCAAGCAGAAGTTCCCCAGCTTTGAGAAGTACAAGGTGCTCAACTTCAGAGAGCTGTTCAAAGAATGGCCAGCCCACTACAACTACAAGGAGCCGCCCAAGTCGCTGCCTCCAGTGGTGCCGAATAAGCTCGAGCTGGAGATTGACGTCGACACCGCCAAGCTGTTCCGCATCCCCGATGCCACCCTTGCCGCGAACTCTAAGCGATCTCAAGGCCAGCATGGGGAACAACAGGATTGGGCCGAACCGCCCATGTTAATGGACCTGGACGACATGTTCCCGGACTCGGACCTGAACGACGAGGCAGAGCTTGTCGGTGGTCTCACCTTGAAGGAATTCGCGACCGTGTGCGATGATTGGGATAACATAGGGGACCCTGGGCCACTATACCGGCAGACTGGTCAACTCACCCCCCCTGCCGAGGAGGACGAGGAGATGGATGACTGGGAAAAGCAGTTTCTGCCAGACAAATCGACGCAGGTCGTGAAAAAGCGAAAGTACGAGCCCGGGTTGCCTAACATCACCGAGTATTCCACCTCTAGCATAACCAACTTCTTCGAGGCTACGAAACGGCAGGGTCGGTGCATCCAGCTCGATCAGAGTGATCCCTACCTACTGCTCGAAGACATGCAAGTCGAGCGGCCTGCAAAGAAACCCCGCGTGGAAGAAAAGATGAAGCGCATGGCCAACGGCCAACTCGGCAGAGATGTCAGGCATCGATTCAACTACTCCAACGACGCGGAATACGAGGCTTTGACAGCCAACCACAAAACCAAAGTCAGGGCCTTGCTTTCCAATACCACAGTCGAGCACAGTATGCCTGCTCAGAGGCTGGCCTTCCCTTACTACCGCACCAAACTGCAAGGCGAGTTCTGGGAGCATCACCGTCCCAAGTTTGACTTTGCCAAGCTGTTCAAGCACCAGGTGCGCTTCAGGCGGCAGGCCAAGGTCAAGCGCAAGGAGATGAAGGGGAAAAGCGTCAAGGAGATCTTCCAGAGCAGCAAGGACCTCTCTCTCAACGATAACTCTACGGTTATCCTTTTTGAGTACTGCGAGCAAAACCCTATCCTGCTGAACAAATTCGGAATGGGCAGCCGCATAACCAACTACACGCGCCGAAAAGAGGGTGACGAGGAGTACAAGCCTGCAAAGGCCGAACTCGGCGAAAGCCACGTTCTGCTCCCACAAGACAGATCACCTTTCTCCATATTCGGCACGGTGGACATTGGTGAGGTTGTGCCTACCCTCCACAACGCCTTGTTCCGGGCGCCTGTCTTCAAGCATGAGCCAAGGGACACCGATTTCATCCTCGGTTACAACCTCACTGGATCGGATGCCCCATTCTACTACCTGAAAAAGGCCCATGGTCTTCAAGTTGTTGGCCAGCAGAACTACTACCAAGAGGTCCCTGGCTTGCACGCTAGAAAGATCACTAGTGCCAACAAGACGCGCATGAGGGCAGTCTGTGACAGAATGGCAAAACAGCGACCAACTCGCGACATTGACATTCGAGAAGTCACTCCTCATGTGTTTCAAAGGCAGGACCCGCAGAACAGGTATGGCTCCAGCGATGGCGGCCCTTCCAGCAAGAAGGAAAACCGTATTGACCCCAATGACAGACAGAAGATGAAAGAATTCTATGTCTACAATAAAGAAACCAAAACTTGGGGTTACAAGGAGGGTGATGCTCCCTGGGATGAGAGCTTCATCCGGCAACAGCTCAAGCCAGAGGATGTTGTTCTCATTGAGGCCACGCAAGTCGGTGCCTCAATGCTACAGAGTGCAGGTTATGACCCAAAGGCACCAAGTTTCACTGAAGATGACGATGAGCTGGGGGCGGACATACCTCTGGTTGCCAAGTTGGCACCATGGCAGATCACCAAGAACTTCATTGATGCCTGCCAAGGAAAGGCCATGGTAGCCTTGCACGGAGAGGGAGACCCGACTGGCCATGGGCTGGGTTTCAGTTTCATCAAGACGTCCATGAAGGGTGGCTATATCAATGCTGTTCAAGGCCCACTTGCCACCAGTGCCGACGCAATCGAGAGAGAGAGGAAAGCCAATGGGGGCCACTCATACAATGTCAAAAAACAGCACGAGATGTACATGGCTGGTATTAAGGATATCTGGGAGAGACAGAAGACCACCCTGTCAGATCCTACAACCCACAACGACGATGAAGTCTTGGACGGCACCAATGAGGATGACAGATTCAACACGCACAAAGCATCTGAACACACTCCAGCTGCTCCGATGGATGATGGACGAAGTCAGCTGAGCCATTTCAGTCAGAATAGTGGATATGGACGGCGCAAGATCAGGATCTCGCGCAGGAAGCGGGCGGAGGATGGCAGCATAACAACCGAGCACGAGATTGTCGAGGACCCTCAGGTCATCCGGAGCTATCTCAAACAGAGGAGAGAGCTTGATCTTGCAGCCAGAGATATCTACAACATGAAGCCCACAGGCGATGCCGATGCAGATCGTGAGCAAGCGAGGCTCATTGAGCAGGAGCTCCTCCGCCTTCAGAAGAACGCTGATCGACGCCAAGTGCGGGAGAAGCAGGGAAGAGGCAAGAAGAAGGAGGTACAAGCCGATGCAGGCTCTCCCGACCCATCAGGTCCGGGTGCAGGTGGTACAACTCGGAAATGTGCAAACTGCGGACAAGTCGGTCACATCAAGACCAACAAGGCCAAATGTCCCCTTCTAAACGGCACAATCTCTACAGAGAACGCGGCCGACCTTGGAGGATTTGGCTCACTTCCTGGCGTTGGGGCTTCGGCCAATTAGTCAGGTACAGGGGCTATTCAAAGCTGCTTGGAGGAAATTTGTATCGATAGTGTGTGCACGATCACAATGAAAGCGAGCACTGCAGGCGCAACGGCTTTCTACCGTACGTTGGTTGGTCTTAAGCGATTTCACGCCATCAGGCAGATACCAAATATGATTATATAATATACCTGCATCCATCATACGAACTATTCAACGTCTCTGGTGCCCTTTGGACTCTGTAGGCGTATTGACCTTCGATCTATCATGTTTCTGGCCCTCCCACTCCTAGACGGGGAAAGTAGAACATCTCGAGCGTTAGGTATTAAGTGCCGCCACCAACCATAGCGGCGGATACTATTCCCAGAGGGGAGGATATGATCAGCCAGACGCCAGCTTACCTCAGTAGGGGCAAGTGAAGTGGTGACCTCGGCTTGCCGGGCTCCATCGCCGTCCTCCCTACTTTGACGCAAACGTCCAGAGTGCGCACGGGGTTGTAGACCGCTGCCGCGGCCATGCCTTCCCCTGGCGCAGTGGGCGGCAGAGACTCGACCGGCTTCATGACTCAGTGTACACACACCAATACAAGTGATGTGACTTTTGCGAGCTGCGGTCCCCCTTGGGGTTTCCCGGGAGTCTGGATCGATTTGCCTGCATGTCAGCCAGCCTGGGTTCGACAGGTCATGATGGCCACAGGCACGGAACCCAATCAGAAGCGCCCGCTCCCTCTGCTGTGCGAACGCAGACGCAAGGGATCGGGTCCATCAGCCCTACTTCGGGGCCCCGGAAGGGATTCCCGTTTCTGGCGATTCACCAGCCCGACCCGTGAGGTCCTTTCGTCCCCACCCCCCTCTCTTTGTGCGGCGCCGGATGTCCCGTGTTGGCAGTACCGTGAGAATTAGGAAGACCGGGTGCCTCGTAGCATGGGGTTGGCTGCTTTTGTTGGTGATGGCCGCTGTCACGTGCAAATCTAGCAGTTGGTATTGAGCTCCCTAGGGTGTCGAGGCTTGCGGACCTGAAGAAGCTAATACCGACTGATAGTGTATTCTGAAGCAATTGGTCATCGTTTAATGGCCTTCAGATGGTAAGGGCTGCTAGGCTATTTGCCCTTAATGGTAGTGAGACCTGGTGAATACATTTCTTTTACCCAGAAAGGCAAATCAAGCAGGAAACATCACCTGTCATAGTTTTTCTGTGGAGAGTTGGCTAGCTGTGTCATCAGAGTAGTCTTGTGCTTGTTCTAAAGTATTTCATTGAGCTTTGGCCTAGATGTCATGTATTCTCTGTACCTTCAAGTGTTCAACAAACATCTCGAGGAAAGCTTAGAGAGTGGCACCACAAACAATGCTGGTCACATCGGTCGGGCTTGTGCTTGCAATGAGAGCCTTCATTTTCGGGTCCTAGAGCTTGAGGTCTGCCACGGCGAGATTCGCCTGTATCAGTAAAGCTCTAAGGCCCACATGGAAATTCAATGGACAAAACCATCTCTACCAAACTTCCTTTCCTCAATAGGGGATACAACTATGTCTGTGCAGCAATTTTATTCCATGCCCGTTGTAACTTACTGATTTGCCGATACTTGGCAAACCCAGTAGCTTGGTGCGATGCGGTTTGGCACTTTGGCACTTCGGAAGAAGCCTGGTCCTTGTCATGATGCGATTGGATCACATCATTGATAGCTGAAGGTACTTTCGGAAACCAACCAGGGCTCTACTCTAGCCCGAGCCGACGGGCTGGCCCTCTTTCTCGGAAAATTGGCCGCTAGCGTCCCTAGGGCCCGAGGAGCTGGGAATTTAGAACCCCTCCCTTCGTATCCGGATTGGCACATGGCTCATGGCACATGGCACAGGGTGTTGATTGTGGAGGGGAACGAGAACAGGGTTCCTTGGAACAAGATGGAACAAAGGCATGCAAGTATAGAGTACAAGGGCCCAGCTCACGGATTATCCAAACCCCTTGCCCAGCCAGTCGATTACCAGACACATGGAGAGGGGGAGGGGGGTTTAGCTCACGGATATTTAGCTTGTTTCAATACAGGTCTTGTTCCAAAGAAGCCAGGGATAGGGATCACCCGGAGGGTCAGAACGTGTGAAGCAGGGAGGGGACCTGCCATGTCATAAGGTCATATGATCGGGAGGCGTTCCGTATAGTTGGGCGAACGGCTATACCTCCAAGACCGGAGGCGGAATCAGTCATGGAAAGGACCACGCATAAACGAAGGATGAGCAATCAGATAAAAAGCGGTTCTACGGTCCAAAGTGTCGGTTCGTGTCTCCCCCTGATAGGTTCTCAACTGCTCTATCGTGCCCGTACCCGCGAATAGGAAGAGAGGATCCCGATACCCAAGACAAGGGAGGGATCTTGAATGCCGTTGCCTGGGTGTGTCCCGACACTTTGGAACCGCTTTGTCATGTGATCTGTCGGCTGGACCACATACCATCACAATGCTATAGCCTCCACAACCCAGCAGTAAGCAGAGCTAGCCCCTGCTCTGCCAAGGCTGACTATAAGGACCACGATGACACTTATGCACGGTCATCATAGAGAATTGCCAATGAGCTCCTCACACAAGATGGCTCGGTGCTTAGTATGCAGGCCATGATGTTGCTTACATTGCAGGATATGATGTTGCTCATTTCATCACGATGCCGGCATGTGGAGGGAAGCGGGTGGCTTCGTTAACGACTCGCATTGGACAGGCTAGACAGACCTATACGAGCCCGCTTATAGTCCACGCTCACTAGGCGACGTTGAAAAAAGCAATTACACGCAAATTGGCACCCGTGGATTATCACTTGCAGGCTGCAATACAGTACGTGGCTTCCGCAAGACACGAAGTGTGCCTCAAGGCCTTCTTGCCCGGTAGATTTTTGAGATAGGTGTACGTCCCCTGGGAGCTAACAAGGCATTCACGAAGTAGAAGAGCCAAAAGAAAGACCCGCAATGGGCGGGCAGTCCGACCCGACAAAGGTTGTCCACGCTGGCATATCGGATCTGATTTGAACTGATCGAGTTATCGCAATGCTTTTCCGCTTTGACCCCCTCTACTCAGCACCAACCTTTGACTGGGTTGCATGGAGAAACTCTATGAAATCATCTTCTGCTAGACCCGTTGTGTCAGTCAAGGGCGGTCAAGGTTTCGTGATGACATGATCGTACACAAGAAAGCCCCAGTGTCGGAAACCCCTCCGAAGACTCACCAGGTGGTTTGCCGTGATGACCCCAGGCTCAGCGGCACTTTGTGGAGGCTTTTCGCCTCCAACAGGTGGAAAGAAGGGTTGATGAGACAATGTGCGTGCAACCCTGGCTGGGCTGGCCCAATCACGTTCGCCACGGTGACCCGACGAACCGGTTGTCAATTTCGGAGTGTTTTCGGGCCAACTCCCTCAAACGGAAATCGAGCGCACGTCGGCATTGGGTATACGTACTGTGTGCTACGTGGATTGGCGAATGTCATGCACACGGGGGGTGACCCCCCTTCTCTTGCATTTGAACATGTCGTTTCCAGTCGTTGCAACGGGCGGGCGCGGGGTGGAGTGATAGAACTGTTTTCTGGCATTGTATGAAGCGCATGGAAGTGGTGCAGTTGATCACAATGTTGGTGACGGCGTGGTGTGATCGGGGCAGCGTTATCAAAGAGATTCTGACCCCTCCGGAACGATAGAACAGTATGCTTAGCCAACACATCGCCCGAATCCGACTGGTCACATTAAGTTACTGTACATAATCTACAGGGTCGGCCGCAGATCATTCCCCCTGTTTGGAAGAGTACGATCAGGCCACAAATGTCCAGGAGCAGAGAGATAAAGTCAATCAAAACGAACTGTTGCTAGGGTATGATAGCGTCGAGGATTTCCATGGATGCTGGTCTTGGTACAACGCTTGGCGAACCAGTACATTCGACGCCTTCTCGCGAATTACTTGGCCATAGCTAGAGCATGCTTTGGGGCGGTTCGCCAATGGATGGTACCAAATATTACGTCGAGACAAAAACCGTTAGCGCACCTTTGCTCTAACTTCTCGAAAATAGTAGTTTTATGATGGGGCAGGTAGGGAAGGGGGTCGCCATATTTCTGTTGACCCCCTGTAAAGATCGTGCACCTGAGCTCTGGCGGCCATTCATGGTTCCCTGGGGCCTCGAATGGAAATTCGTTGAACACAATACTGCGAGGTGCCGCATGCAGGTACCACATCAACTCGAGACATAATGTCCTAGGACCAACCCCCCGGAGTCGGTGGAATTCCTGTAGATTCTGCAGTGTGCCGTAGATGACATGGTGTGATGCATCGGCTCACAAGTCGCCGATGTCCATCTCGGCATCCAATCTGTGCAAACCTCGCCTTCATATGCTGTGATCTAACTGTGAGGCACAGCTCAGCTCGCTTGGAAACATGTCAAAGAGCGGTCAGCCCAGTAAGCCCTATGACTGGGTGCCGAGGAAGGGGGTTGAGGTTGCTTTCCCCTACTAGCGTTTCTATAATCCCACGGCCGAGACATAGCAAGTTGTCCGACACACGGGCTCATCGGGGCCCCATGGAAGTTGGGGTTTCACGAGATCCAAGACAGCGGAGAACGAGACACGCAGGCAGTCAACGCTTTCTTCAACGGCTATTGGCGACAATCTGCCGTGCGTCTGAGTCGTCGGTGGAACATGGCCCAATGGGAGGTGGTGTGCTGGAGAAGGCTGTTTTCGGCTATGATGCAGAAATCTTGATCCGTCGTTGTGGCTATGTGGCCCGCAAATCTGGGTCACCCATGCCCAAATGTGCTTTGCGCGAAAAGCGGACTGCAGCAAGCAAACACGCCTATGGCAATTAGACATTGATCTCTGGCCAGAGAAAAAAAGAAAGAATAGAGAAATCAACCACAGCGATAACCCAATTTGATCATGCGCACCACGCCCAGCAACTGGACAGAATAACCATTGGATTGCCTTCTTTGCTTTTGAGTGTCTCTCATTGTGCCCTCGCTGGCCACCCATGCAGCCGTGACGGCAAAACCACTGCCTGCCTGCCTGCCTGCCACCAGTCACAGTGCCGCGCGACAGTAGATGGCGCTTTCTGCGTTTTTTGTCCGGGATTTAGGGCCAATCAGCTTGTGCCGACAGCTGCCCCACATCCCAACCAGACTGTCGGGTCCGCGCTAGTCCCAGAGGGTGCTGCATTACATGGAGGGGTTCGTTTCTGTGCCCCTTTCGTGCATGAGCTGAGACGAGGATGGAGAAGAGGGTGTAGGTCGAGGGGTGCATCTGTTCGACTGAAGAAGATGGATGTGGATCGCCGCCCGGATGGATGGCATCGCCTCAGCGTAAGATGGCGCTCCTTCGCCGTTCACCATTGCGCCCGCAGGTTGCATCGTGAAGTGGTAGCCGGTTCTTGTCACAATATGCTGGCGCAAGGTTCGTCGAACAAGGCGTCAACGGCCGATCCGGGCATGCTGCGCTTCGCGCGCTAATTGCAAGGCCGACATTCGAGAAGCACATGCAACCTCGATGATCCCAATCTCTCCGGCAAGTTGGCGGGTAGTAGAACCTAGCAGAAGTTCAGCACGCCGTTATACTCGCGCTAGCGCCTTGGCCGGAGTACTGTGTAGAGAGAGCAAAGCGCTGGTCAGGTGTTTTGCGGAAGACTCCACAGCCGCCGCCCTTCTCATACCATTGCTGGCGACAGGCTTCGGCTGCAAGGTACTGATTGAGCCGCGGCGGAGTTTGGCCGCAGCCTTCTCTTCTAGAAGCTGGAGATCTCATCTCCTGAGTAGCAGCCGCGGCTGATGCATTGCACCGTGCACACAGCAAAGGTGCATGTTCTCCAGCGGCTCGTCATGCAGGAACCACTGGGAAGCATTACAATCCTAGAGAAGGGCCCATGACGTCCCAGGTAGAGTGCTTGCTTTGCCAACCCATCAGTTGGTCCCCATTACACGTAGAAATGCGGGAGAAGTCCGACATGTGGGAGTCCAGTAGACCCCAGCACGTTACATGGTCGATGTACCTTTGTGCCAGGGGAGCCTTGCTGCTCGGCGTATCAAGAGGATACTCCAGCTAAGATTGAACTTTGCGCGCACATTTCATCGGACATCGGAAGGCCGCACGCGAGATTCCCCCAAAATGCCAGATCTAACTAACTGATCCAAGATTGCCCCTGTCAGTCCTTGCAGCTCCTCGCAGGAGAATCACACCGGCCCCTGTTCTACTAATAACTCAACCTTAACCTCACCCAAGAAACCCCGGCCATGTTTATAGTCTTAGTTCGCACAGGCCGCTAAAAATGGCCCCAGCCCTGACGTACCTTACCCCATAGTTAACCTGAGCGACGTTTCATGCCCGGCAGGCAAATGCTTCCTGCAACAACATAAGCCAGGTAGTTACGGATTACCTTGTTTGTCATGGGACCTCGCTGATACAATCTGCCCCGTTGTTGTTGCCGGCCCTGTGTCTTGGCAGCGGCTGTGGGTGGTTTGCTGAGAACGATCACGTTGTACCCTGCTGCGCCATTTCGCAAGGAACACAGACCGACTGTGCTGAATGCCTGATGTTGGTGATGACATGTAGTGCTATGAGCGGTAGACTTGACAAAATCACATCTGGTTCGGCAAATCGTGTTCTTGTCAGACTTCATGTATCTGTTGGCAGGGCTGTAGCTGTGTCACGAATCCAGGGAAGCGACGCGATTACTCGAGACGACGGTAATCTGCCGACTTAGGCTGGCTGCAGCGTTCTGAGCCACTTTCATGTTTCTTTTGATGATTCTGCGGCGAAAATAGAGAAAGAGAATTACCGTCATCTGTCGCTGGCAATCGACTGTACGCTCGCTACCAGCGGATGGCCTGGGTTAGCCCGCGGCTCAAAGCATGACACCATATCTGCCAGTCCGGGTCGGACCTGTCAATCATAAGGCTGGCCAGGCTAGGCCGGCGGCATGATGGTCAGGCCTCTGGGCAGAGCTGCAGATCGCTCTGAGGCTCGACAGGGCCAGCAGACGCGCGCGTGAGACCGCATCGACGCCCGCCCCGAGGTGAGCGGCCCTCACTAGTCGCCCTTGGTGCACCATACCTATGGGCCTCGCAAGCTTCACTCCATCGCCTACGTGTCACCCGCGGGCAGGCAGCATAGCACCAATGAAGTGGCCAGCCAGCCCTTTGGGATTGATTGCGAGGTACACTGTGGGGCGGCGAGTGCTGCTCGAGCAATCGGCCAGTACCTTTCGGAACCACACACCCTTCCTTTCCTTTGGCCCCAAGAACCAAGCGCGGCTTTTCTGGCGGTCGGTCGCTTGAGCGTCGCACTGTCCGCCGAAACAAGAAGAAAAAGCAGACGGGATTGAGCCTAGCGGGACAGGCCGCCGGACCACAGTATTGGAACTGCAGTTGGTCTGGCCGGCAGGCCTGATGGATGGGCAAACGTGTTGTTGCCCTGTCTCCGACGAGGGAGCGCCTCGGCCCCCATGTGGACGTGTGTTGACGAAGTCTAGCAAAGTTCCAACAAATCTGCTCAAAGCAAAAACAAAGGCTAACAAAATGGCCGTCCGGTCGCGTTTTAGGGCGGGCCTACAGCGACTGTGTTCGAATGTTTTACCTAGAGAGACCGAATCCATCCGGTCTGATCTGGTGGCGGGCGGATGCATTGGGAATTGATCTGGTGTCTTTCTTGCCAACGAAGCGCATCCCACCAGACCAGACTGAAGCCAGACAGCACAAGTCGGCCAACGGCGCATTGCTTGGTTACATCCGAGCCTGACACGACTTCGTCGGTTTTCCAGGGATGAGATAGCGAACCCTTGTTCAACGAACTGAACGAGGACTGCGAAACGGGCGCGCAGTGGGCTTTTTGGCCTTGCCGCAGCGCGCAGGGCAGATGGGAGACGGCCATTAATACAGAGTAATAGCAGGGTACACTTATACGCTGGGTACGTATACATGAGCACAGCGTAAGGATTACCACGGTAATGTTAGGGGCAGGCTTGGGACTTTGGAAGTACGGAGTACCTTGCCGGGCCCTGGTCCGCAGGCCAGCACAGGGATCGATTTCAGGCCGTCGTTCTGGGGACAGCCAGCGCCAGCACCAGCACCAGCACCAGCACCAGCGCCAGTGCCAGTGCCAGTCCAAAGAAAAAAAAAAGGGCCGGGTCCTGTATGAGGGTGGCGGCGTGCCTGTCAAAGTCCACCTAGGTACTGTGGTAGTTGGAAATAAATGCGATGCAACAAGTACCGTTCCGCACCCAACTACCTGGCAACTAGAGTACATACGTACATCCATACATTGGATACCTCTACCTCTACCTCTACATATCCTAACTAAAGGGAGCCCATCACACATTCCCAAAATCCCCCATCCCCATCCCCATCCCTATCCCATGCCATCCCATGCCATCCCAATTGATCCCATCCCCCATCCCACCACGCTTGCGCAGCAACATGATAATTTAGACGCCGAGGTCCACTGAGTAGGTTATCCTGGGACGTCCGTGGTTGTTGATCTCGAAGAGGCCCAACCCAATGCTCTGGAGCACTACTTAAGTGTCTGACTGCCGAGCAGCAGCAGCAGTAGAGTTCCGTCTTGTCTCTTCAAGGTTGAAGCCCGGCGCAAATCCCACCCCCCCGCCATCCTTGCTCTCCTTGCTCCTTGCTCCTTGCTCCTTGCTCCTTGCTCCCTGCTCTTCAAGAGCTCATGCTGGCAGTCTGCGACCTGGACTTTGCACACTCTGAAGTCGTGCACCGCGTCCATCTACCTACCTTGATAAACCCACTTTATTACTTGCACATCATCCTACCGCATAGGAGAGACAACCACACACCCTCTATTCTGCTCCTCCGCGTCTTGCTGCAGCGCGCCTGCTGGGTGGCACATTGATCTGCCCCCGGACCATAGACTTACCCACCCCCTACGTTTGACAACTCGCTCTGCACCCTTATTACTACACACACGCACACGCGCACACACACTTACGCCAGAGCCGCTCACAACTGACTGACCTACCTTGGGGTCGCGCCACTCTCTCACTCGTTGCAGCATATTTTTCTCAACACCCAATTTCTCTCTGGCAGCTCCTGGACGGCCACTGACTAAACCACGACATCTTCCCCCCCGTGAGCTCGGTTTGATTTCTTCTCCACAACGCCGACTGCTTGGTCAATCTGCGGCTTGCTTCTTGACCTCAACATACCTCAAAGCTGCCCCTCAGAATCAGATCCGTCCTGTACAACCAGCACGTAGCCTGGATCCCCAAACTCTTCCCCACGCCCAATCATGGCGTACAATGGCTACAACTACCCAAGGTGAGCTTGACCATTATTGGCGTGCTCGATCGCCCTCGTTGTGATCTTAGCCGCCACTGCATGTCGAATTGCTGCTAACACGCATTCCTCGCTGCAAAAGTGCTCCTCCGCCTCCTGCACAGCAACCGCCCTCGCCTTACTACCAGGAGAACGGCCGCTTCTATGGCACATACCACCAGGGCCAGTACATGCTGCCTGTGGATGAGGTATGATTTCCCCGGGACTGCAAGCTGTTCCATCCCCTGTCACTCTGTACATAGGGCTTGGACATGATTAACCATGATTTAGGACGAGCTGGACAAACTAGACATCTTTCACAAGTTTTTCTTGGTGACGCGAGACAAGGACTCGTACGGACCTGGCCTGCACCAACACCAGATCACCGAGGCAAGCCCTCGAATCCTGGACTTGGGCTGCGGCACGGGCATCTGGGCCATTGACATGGCTGAGTATGTGCACCACCACATAGCATGATACCGGGCACTGACAATTTACGCAGCCGATTCCACTATGCCAGGATTGTGGGACTAGATCTGAACTATACTCAGCCGGAGCGGTGAGTCTCAGTAGTCTCGGCATGAGAGAAGTCCTAGCTAATACCGTAAAGTATCCCCAACACGATTGAGTTCCGCCGCCAGGATGTTGAGGAACCGAATTGGGGCCTGGAGCTAGATTCGTTTGACCTGGTCCATCTGCAGATGATGGCTGGGAGTATTAGGGACTGGGCAGCTCTGTACCACAATGCTTTCCGGTAAGAGCAAGGTTCAGTGAACGCACGCAATTGCATCAACGGAGCTGATACTTGCGGCCAGACATTTGAAGCCCGGAACAGGGATGATCGAGCATATTGAAATCGATTTCCAGCCTCTGAGCGATGGGAGTCTCCCAGCGGACGCTAGACTCCTGCATTGGTACAGCGAGCTCAGTTCAGCTTACGCCCGAGCTGGAAAACCTCTGGCTTTGAACCGCCAGAATGACGTCGACGTGCTCCTCAGACAGGCCGGGTTCGATGACATCCAATGCTTCACGAGGGACATCCCATATCACCCTTGGCCTGCAGGCGAGAAGGAGAAGGAGATTGGTCGATGGTTCAATCTCGCCATGGTGCAAGGGCTCCAGGCTATGACGTTAGCGCCTTTGACACGACATGCTGGATACGACAAGACCCAGGTCGACAAACTTGTTGGCGAGGCGAAGAAAGACATTTTGACCAGATCCCGCCGGTCATACTGTAAAATGTGAGTACTCGAAGGAGCGGGCGGCGTCCTGCTCCGCCTAGACAGACGGCAAATAGAAACTGGTAGCTAACCTACCTCCCAGGCATATCTGGACCGCCAAGAGGCCCTTCAATAAGAGGTACTAGTCGGAAGTCAAAGAACATGCTTTGAGAGGTTGGGGGTGTTGGACGAGCCAGCTTGTCAAACGCCTCATTCCCTATTCCTTTGCAGCCACCGGCACTTGTCGAGATGGAACTCACCAATTTGGACTCCTTGCCGTTCAAGAACGCCGGGCGATTTCCGATTTCCCTGCTCCATCTTAAGGCAGCTGATGGGAACCAGTCGCCGAATGTTCTCCAAGCATTTCTGGACCGCCATAAAGCCGTATAAGGAGGTACCAACCAGAATCAAGGGGGCATGCTGCGGGAGATTGAGAATGAAAGGCGAGCCTAGCTTGCTAACTGCCCATCTCGGTCCCATTACCCTTCTGGAGCGTCGGGCGGTTACGCATGGCCTTCTAAGGGTTGTCGCGGCGCTTTGCTCGGTTTTGGGGGCCGACTCCGTCCCTGGGCGGCAAAATTACCCGCCAGCTTCTTCGGATGCAACAGTTCGCGGGAAGGCCGATTTATCCTGCCCAGTCGTCAGCAGAAACGGATTCTGATTTATGTGGCACAGCCCGTCATCCTATTTGACGACAGTGTGCAGGAGGCAGACCTGCCATGATCTGATATCATGCTGTTACCACATGGCCAGGGTCTGTAGGAGGATCAGCCTCTACCTTCCTCGATCCGACAACACTACGGGAGCCCTGGTCTTTATGACCTGTCCACATTGCTTCCAAGACTACTAGTGCCCAGCTATGCAATTCAGAATATTAGAATGCATCGTGGTCGTCGTGTCTTGGTTTTTGGGGGCTGGACAACTTCATCCAAGGTAAAACGTCTTGGATGGTCTACTTCTCGACCAGATGGGAGGCCCGACTACACCGCGACCGGTTCTAGTTTGATCTTGCCTTTCATGCGAAGATCTCTTACCCGTTTCATCGTCGTCAACAGCCGCCATGGCCCGCCTTGATGGGTCCTCAACTACTCTAATTTGAGAGTTATTCTAGGCAGGACAGTCTAATCATGAGGGAAGGACTGGCCCTGAGGCCCTAGGAGTTTTGGAGTCTTGGTGTCTTGAGTGGTCAATTGGGCTTGCGGCGTTTGGCGTCCAGTCGAGGCTGTCTTCAGGTGATCCGCCTTCGGAGACAATGTGGGCACAAAATCTGGCTATAGATGGGATGTGTAACGACTTTCTCCTTGTAGCGCTTTTAGACATGCAACGAAATCATTCTTTGTTGGCTCTTGGTCTTAATCTACTGCATAGCCTCGCTGTGCTCAAGTGAATCTGCCGCATGTGGGTTACATGCACTTGCTTGGGTCGGGCCGAGGTGACGGCCAGAAACATTGGCCCTTCAGGCCGCTTGTCGCGGCCATTGTTTTGTTTACCATTGCAGCTTTATATCATGTCAACATGTATTACCTACGTCACGACTGTCGATATTATAATGCTGGGCGAGGCCTGCATATCTAACGCGTGAGGCTGGAGTTCATTTCGAATTTCCTCTTTCATCATATGATGGCCAACCGCTATAGGACCTAATGTTCACACCAGATACAGTCCTCGCCGTTGCTCGTGGATGGGGTATGCATGCTGCATGCGTCCGACTGCAGGAAAAGGCACTTCGTGCATTAGGGGCTCCTGATCTCCGGTTATAATGTCTGTCTCATTTCTCTTAAAAAAAATTCTGGAGATCCCCAAGTCCACCAATGGCTTTGGTGTCCCAGTCAGACCCATAAATCAGCCTGCACGCTGCGAAGCAAATGAGCAGCATGGCTCTGACCGAATCGACCAGCCCCAGAAGACCTGTCAATTGCCTCCTCACGCCCTACCACCCTTGTGTAGTATATACAAATAGGGACAGGACACGAACTTTGAGATCATATCATGGCCGTCGAGCGGCCTCATGCAAGTCATTACCCGAGCTCAGCATACATAGTGTGTATCCAGTACTTCCCCCATCTCCACGTCACATCGCAGCACCATGTCTATGGGCTCGTCGATGCATTCAAACCCAAGCCCGCGCGCGCGCGCGCGCTCTCTCTCGCCCCTTCAATACAACGTATGAGATGGCCTTTGCCCTTCTCCACCCACCCCATTCCACATCCTCGGGTACGGCACCTCCTCCTTCCTCCCTGTGATGGGCCGTTGCAGACAACGGCTATAGGTCCGTGGGCCCCCTCGATGGCGAGCTGCAAGGACAACTGGCAGGCCATCACGTCCTTGATGGTGGTCTATTAATTGGCCCCTCCATCTCCGCCAGCCGCGGTTGGCCCACGCCCAGAGGAGCATGTCTCCCCCCCAATCGTGGATGTCCCCGGTCGAAGATCCCGTGATGGGGCACGATGTTGCCCTCTCGAAGCAACAGCAACAACACGTTCCCCTACCAAGAATCTTGGCCGTATGCCGTCAGACTCACCTCTATATCTGACTTCAGACCACCAGCGCCGCCGCCGCCACCAACCAAGGCGAGGCTCGTCGCTCGGCCTTTCCTTCCTCCTTGGCTCCCGAGGAGTGCGTAGCTAAACCGGACACAGCCATATCTCCTGCACACCTTGCTTTGGTAATCTCAGCGTACCGAGTCATCCTGCAGCGCGTAGGAGAGAAAAGAGGGCCAAAAGCCGGGGGGGATGTGGCCACAGAAAACGAGCGAGACATGCTTTGTGAAACCACACGCACGCAGAAGGCGAGGGCAAGGTTCCATCCGCCTGTACACGTGCCCTTCCCTCACGCCCGACCTACCACTCCCCGGGCCGCGGGAATGCCTACAAGAACGGGGGGAGAGAGCAAGAAGGGGGTGGGGTGTGAGGCTGGGAAACAATATTTTACACCGCCTGTTGTTGCAACGACCCTTTTACACACGCGCGCGCCGCATGGCGTGCGTGCGGGAGGACGGCGAGCCGAACCCAGAAGGAAGACGGGCGAGTCAGGATGCGCTGGCCTTGCATGATGACCCCAGAGGCCGGGCCGCGGGTGTGGTGTGGGCGGGCCCAGGGAACAGACAAGGAGGAGGAGCAGCAGCAGAAGGAGGAGCGCGGCAGCCGTGGTTGCGAGCCGCGGCGTCTCTGCCTTGTCTGTCTGCCCGTCTGTTTTGGGCCTGGTAGACGGTCGGGTCTAGAGGTCGGGAGGCCGGCCGGCAGACCTCCTTTTTTCATAAACAATTTTTTTTTTCTTTTGGCTCTCTCCCCTTCCCTATTCGGCAGCATATAGTCAGCAGACGACCCCTGTCGAAGACCGTTTATGGTAGCACTTTCTTGTTGCCTGCTCAACTCCATTGTTCCCCACCGTCTCCTTCGACGCCAAAGCGCATGTGATGTAGCCAGCAGATAGTTACAAAGAACCTGGCAAGACGACAATGCCAGCACGTACAGTATGCTGGCCTGCGTCGTGGCCATGACCATGAGGGCCAGCGGAGGCCCGGTCGCCTCCACACGCCTCTCGTTGTCTCCATTGGGATCAATATAGTGATCCCCCGGTAGCATGGCTTAGAGGAAGAAGACCGGTGTATGGGGGCGTGTGTAGAAGCACCGACCGGCGGGCATATATCATACGGCGTCGTGCACACTGTGCTGCAGAACGCCCTGCGCCTTCCTGCCCCCTCCCCTTCCTTCTGTACGCCGTGTCATCGTGCTTACTGGCAGGCAGACAGGCAGGCAGGCATGTAAGTTGATAGCCGCGCGTCTCCGAGGTGGGGAGAGTGGGTGGACATATCCGGGTGGACTGATATCCGCATGCCATCAATGCTGGAGATCTTAACCTTGGGGGTGCTAGGGATCTCGGGGCCTCCGCGTTGCCACGGCTCCGGAATTAGAGCTCTGTAAGTGGATGAGGCTCATTTTCCTTCGTGCCTGGAGGCGAAGGATTATTAAGCTGCCGGGTTTGGCCTCCTTTCAATGGGGTTGTGCCTGGCGTCCCCTGCTAATGGCCGGCTGACGGGACTGTATCATTGCTTCGATGTATTGTAGTCACAAAAACGCATCCCTAGGCTCCTGGGTCTTCCGGGCTGCGGTTGTCTATCACCATGCTGATGAGCCAGTGTAGAGAGTAGCGGCCGCTATATGCTCAGGGGGTCGGGACATCGAATGGGGAGGGGAGCATGGACATATTTGTGCACACAATTGAACGAGCGCAATGGAGTTCGCGTCCATTAGTCGATTCTTCCCTAGACCACCATCTCATACTCTTCAGGTATTGTACAGGTATGACAAAGGAAAAAAAAAGTTTTGGGGTTTTGATGAGGGCAGGCGACTATACAAGGCAGAATAGGGTTGTACCGTTTCTGACTTTGCCCTTACGCCTCTCATATAGCCCCCTTATCGGCAGAGACCCGACCAGGATTATTCTGGCCACTCTCGTTGCTGGTCTAAATGTTTCACCGGAAACCACCATCGCTGGTTCCCTTCCATTGTTTCAGTACGCCCGCCACCTAAGGCGGTTTCTCCCGCTTCGTCTATTCCGATTCCATGGCCTATAATGCGATACGAAAGCTCAGAAAAGTCACCACTCCCACTGCGCTCCTCACGGCCGCGCATGGCGCGCTTAGTGGTGAGCGGCAGCGTTCTCGCCGTGGTAGCCGATAACCTTGAAACGTCCGATCATCTCACCGATGGTGAAGAAACCCAGGCACTCGGCAGCGACGACGCCGCCGGCGACGAGCTGAGCACGGCTGACATTCCGGGCCTTTTCGATGATGGAGGCGGGCTGCTGGGTAGCTTTGGATGCGGTCTGAGATGCAGTCTGGAGGAGCGCGCTGGGGTTCCGGACCTGCTTCCATGCGTTCTGCCAGTAGCTCTGGAAGGTCTGGAGGGATCTGCCGGCAAAGGTTAGTCGGGGCTGCAGAGTCACCGCCGCGAGCTTGGTGGGCAGGTGGGACTATACTCACGGGGGAGACATCTTCTGGCCACGGAAGACGATCTTGGCGACCTCGGCGCCGACCTTGGAGTAGTAGACGACGTGGGGGACTTGCTCTGTTGGTGGCTGTCAGCTTGTCTTCTGGTCCGGAGCGGGCGGATGCTGTGGCCGCGGCTGCGGCTGAGCCTGAGACTGCTATCTTTCACGTACTCTCGACAAAGGCGACCAGCCTTCCCGTCCGGCCGCCGACCTTGCTCAGCGAGGTCGCGAGGCCCTTGGCGGCGCCCGAGATGGCGGGACCGGCGGACGAGGTGACCTTGGACAGGCCCTCCTGGGCCTTGGAGGCGTACTGGGAGGCGGTGGACGAGGCCTTGGAGGCAGCGTCCTTGGCGCCCTCGGTGGCCTTGGCCGTGGTGGTCGACTCGAAGCGGCGGGCAGCCATGCGGAGGGCACCGGACTGGCGGAGGACCGGGCGCGAGAGGGCCATGGGCGACGACATGGTGACGGCGGGCGGGGGCTCACAGACGGGGCGGGGGGGTTGGCGATGTCTGAGAGGATGGGAGTCGACGCTGTCGGGGCGAGGGCGGGAGGGAAAGAGTGGCTTCGGGGGGGTGGGCTGGACTTTGGGATTTGGGATTCGATCTTCTCACGACGACGGGAACGTGAGCTCGCGGGAAAAAGTTGACAGCTTCCGGAATTTCACGCAACTTTTTGGAGGCGGGCCCACTCTGGCCACCATTGGCCAATCAGCGGCGCGGGCCCGGCCGGGAGCAGGCCTGTCTGCTGGCCTGTCTGCTCCCATCTCGGACCACCCAGCCAGCACCAGCCAGCACCAGCCAGCACAAACCAGCCAAACTGCCCCAGGGCACTCTTCTAGTTGACTAAACTAGTAACTACACTATATAGCTTCTTAGGTCGTCGTCAACTCTGTTAGTCGGCAGGGGTTGTGGTGGCTCGACTCGACTACCTGGGTGCTTAATTGTCCAACATCGGACGGGCGATGGATGGCCAGAGTTGAGCGACCATCAAGGTTAAAAATAACACTTCTTCACATTTCGGCCTCTATATGCGCTCTCGTTCCCAATCGCAAGTTTGTACACTGGATTCCTTCGCCCGCTCACTTACTTACTCACTCGCTCGCCCACTCCGGCTCGCTCCGCTTCCTCAATTCGCGTGGTATGGCAAGTAAGTGCCTTGTTAACTAGGTCATCCCAGCCCCGGACTATGTAACAGTTCTTCAAGCGGTCTACAGGCCGAGTTGAGTCCACACGGACATATAAAACATACACCTAGACATGTGATATTGACCACCAGTCCCGGTAGCATCCTCCAGGGGGTTTCTCCTAATCGAAACTCTGGATCTGGACCTTGATCGCGCCCGTCTTGGGGTCCGCCGCCGTCTTGAACGCCTCCAGCGCGTCCTCGAGCTTGTATCGGTGCGTCACGAGCCGCTCCAGGTCGATCACCCCGTTCTCGATCAGGCGGATGGCCCGCGGCCACGTGTTGCAGTACCGGTACTGGAACTGCAGGTCGACCTCGCGCGTGCTGCAGCGCATGAAGGGGAAGTTGACCTCGTTGCGGCCCACGCCGATCACGAACACCTTGCCGCCGAACTTGACCGCCCAGATGGCCGAGGCGAGACTGCTCTCCACCCCCGTGCACTCCAGGGCCACGCTCGGCTCGATGCCGCCAAACGTCTTGACGATGGCCTTGGCCGCGTCCTCGGCGCTCGCCCGCTCCACCTTGTGCGTGATGACCGACGGGCAGATCTCCTTGGCAAACTTGAGCCGTCCCTCGTCGATGTCGGTGATGACCAGCGGGCAGGCGCCCGCCGCCTTGCAGCAGAGCAGCGTGATCAGGCCGATGGGGCCGGCGCCGCACACCAGGACCGGGTCGCCCAGCTCGACCTTGGCGCGCTGCATGCCCGCCAGGGCGACGCTGAGCGGCTCGAGGAGCGAGCCGTTCTCGTATGACATGTTTCCGATCTTGTGACACCAGATGGCCGGGTGGTTCACGTACCTCCTCAGCAGGCCCGGCACCGGCGGCGTCGACAGGAACTGGACCTTCTCGCAGCCGTTGTATCGGCCAGTCAGACACGGCTCGCATGCGTTGCAGATGATGTTCGGCTCGATGGCCACACGGTCTCCCACTTTCAGGTGGGTGACCGACGGGTGCACCGCGATGACCTGCCCCGCGGATTCGTGCCCCAGGATGTGGTCGCCCTCGACAATCATGGGGCCGATGCAGCCCGCGTGCCAGAAGTGGACATCGGAGCTGTAGGTTGTCATTTGTCAGGCGGTGGGCTCCGGAGCGGTGTCCATTGGGTCCTTCTGGCAGTGATACTCACCCGCAAATGCCGGTGCTCTTGACGGCTATGGTGACCTCGCCATGGTTCAGCGTCTCCCCGTTCTGCACATCCTCGAGCTTGGGCTCAGTCTCGGTGATCCAGAGATCGTGGGCCGGGTTGGTGAAGACGCCGATGTTGGCCTTGGACGGCTTGACGTCAATGTCGACGGGCGACGGGTCGATCGCGGACGGGCTCATGGTGACGGTCTCACTTCCAGTGTAGACAGGACAGGGCGATCACAAGGTCAGGAGGGAGAGAGAGAGGAAGAGTACTGAGGAAAAGGATGCGGAGGAAAGAGAGAGAAAGTCCTGTCGGGTTCCCTCCTCCGAGAAGAAAGCGCAGCTCAAGTGAGGGGCGGCTCCTTCGCTTGTTATATCTCGAGGGCTGCTATGGCTGGTCGCTTGGTCGCTTGGTTGCTTGCTACCTTGCTACCTTGAGCTAGCTCGCCAAAGTGGCCCAGGAATCCCACCTGGTCTCTTTTTATTTCTCACGATCTCGGGGTATCTTGCCAAGGGCCAGTTTTCCATACTACCCATCCCTCCCCTCCCAGAGAAACCCGCGAATCACCCGCTCGTGTAGGAGTGTCATTGGCCCGTGACGCCCGCGCATTCAACTCGTGTCGCCCGTCCAGCGGGCGGGCGTCATGAGGGGCAGCTCTGCCAGTGGTAACGGGCTCCAGGGAAATTTGGGGCCATGACGTTCGGGAGCTCTAACCCCGACTGGTGCCACGACTTTGCGCACCAATCACACGCGCCCCTTTCTCCAGCGCACGCGTCTATTCCCCGCGAAATCCGCCGGTGGGTATCAGCCGTCGTCCTCGCACCTCGGGTCGCATCCCCATGGCCCATCCAGAGCCATGCTATTCTCCAAACGCAGCCTCCTGCTGCTGTACCGTGCTGACTGAAAATTCGGGGTCCTCCCTGCACAATCTATATTAGTGAAGTTACCCGTAGCGTTTGTGCGCCCCGGGGGCCCTGACTGGCAGGAAAATCTTCAATCTGGAGCCATCCCACGAATAGCGAGGGAGGTGCGGCCGTCCTATCTCCGAAAGATCTCCAGCAGGCCAGATCCCACTTGCTTTAGTGTCGGTAGATCATGCCTCTCCCCTGGCCGCATGTGCTTAAAATGGGCAGTCTTTCGGTGGCCCATCCAACGTGTTGACCGTTGTCTTCGTTGTCCAAGAACGAACGAACGTTTCAATAATTGAAAGCTCCCCACGGGCCCCGATGGGCCTGCGTTCCAAAGGGACTTTCTGGCGGCTGGCTGCTCATAGGCGCGCCAAAGAAGAGGGTTAGAGACGCCGCTCCACACCACAAGTGGGCTCTCCACGGGAGCTATAATAGATCCCACCGATATCGCGGCCCTAGGAACCTCTGAGGCACGGGTCTGACTTTGGGGCGTGCAGAACAGTCGAGAATTCGTCCAGCAGTGCCTACTATGGACATGAATCCCTTAGGCCTTCTTTGAGGTTCGAAAAGTGACAGCTGGCCATTTACAATTCTTGCAACTATTCCCCCCGTTGTTGTTGACGAGCTGGGAAGCAGCCTTACGTATCTAAAGGACAAGGCGAGACAACTGGCGAGACCAGCGCTTGTATTATACTGCACCTACTTAGGATCACGCATATAACAAAAGTACTTGAACGATACACAGAGGTCTCGCGAAAATTGTCTCCATTTCAGTCTAATCCTACAAACTGGCCCATAATATCCACGAGTGCTGCGCTGCCTGACCACACGAGACTCCCGGAATCTCATGAGTGGTCGTCACATCACCGCCATATAATGATGATCCTCAGCCTATTGTATGTGTGCCAGAACGCCATGGCGGGAAGCTGAGATGCAGTGGACTATTCATGTGAGACACCCATCCATAGAATTGCCATGGTGTGCCATCATCGATGTGTAACGAAACCAATACTGTCCTCTGCACACCTTACCTGGTGCTGCCACATTCGCAGGTAGATTGGGCACCCTCGTATGCCAGATTCACGCCGGGAGTGATTCCGCAGCAATGTGCTTGTTCGCGATGCCTACGCAAAGTCAAGCGCAACCGTGCCAGTACGCCGTGCGCCTAACAAAATATCGGATAGTCTCCAAGGCGACCACGTCTACCACTCATACTCGCCGGAAGCCTTGTGGAAGACGTAGTCTCTACCGTTGACGCTAAGCACGCCATCCTTGAGGACACACTTCCTATAGATCAAGTCAGCACACGTCAGAGAGAGACGACCAAGGCTCGAGGTTTGCCACGGAGGGGACATACCACTTGTTCTTGACCCTCTGAACCTTATCATACATGCAAAGCATGATTTGTCCGCCGTCATCGTCCTCATCATCATCGTCGACATTATCGTCAGAATCATCCAGGTCCGAGTTGATTGCGTCCTCGTCTACCTCAGACTTGACATCGTCATCGGGTCCATCGAAGCGGCCGGAACCAGAGGCATCTTCAGTTCGGTGATACGAGACAGGATTGGCCTTCTTTGCACGTTGCAGAGGAACCATCAGGCCGCCGCCCTCCATAGCCTTGGCCCTGGCCTCCAGCTGGGCGTGAAGCATGCGATCAATCTCGACGCGACCTAGCTCAGTGGTCTGGCCGTTGGATTCTTGGCGGACGAGAATACCTTCCTCAGCAGCGCCGTCGAATTGAGACGCAGCCGGCTTCTGAATATGCTGCGGGGGCTGGGGCACACGCTGTTGCATTCCACCGCCGGTCTGCTGTTGCTGCTGCTGCTGTTGCTGGCGATACTGCTGCTGGGCCTGGGCGTTCTGATACTGAGGGTGAGGCTGGCCGGTGGGATGAGATTGTGGAGCGTACTGGGCGCCGTTGGGAGCGGGTCCCATCGTCTCCTGCAGCTTGTTGATTGTAGCATCTGCACGCGAGCCGTACTGGCTTTGCAGATTGGCTATCACACGCGCGTTAATAGCAGGGTTGGAAAAACTGTTGGGCGTGGCCTCCAGGCCGGGCTCGACCTTGACGCCCGGTTCCGGTTTGACGGGAGCTTGGTTGGGAGGTACAGCATACGACTGAACGCCAGGGGGCGCTACCCGCTGGGGGGGCATTCCGGATCCATTGGGGACGGGGATCTCATGAGAAGCAGGTGCCGGGATTGACTGTTGCTGCTGCTGCGGCTGCGGCTGCGGCTGCTGTTGCTGTTGCTGTTGCACGGGCGCCGCCGGGGCGGAGACCGGGGCGGGAGGATCAGGCTTGGGATCCCAGGGGAATGAGGCCAGGTTCTGAGCCGAAAGCTTCTTCTGCCATCCCTACGCAGAACATGTTAGTGATCCGAGTAGGCGTCAAGTGAACGATAGGCTGAGGGAAAACAGGGATGTCGGGTGCTAGTGGGTCGGGTGAGGTATAGAGTATACGACGAGAAGAAGTAGGCCCCGATTATAGTGTAGTACGAGCAGGCAGACACCACGAAACAGTGGCTTCCAGGGGGGTGTGACTGTTGGAGGCGGGAGCCATGTGATACCCGTTGGCAGAAGAGCCAATCAGAGCTGGTGTGACTCAAGCGAAGGGACAATTTCGTTTTAGCGGGGAGGCAAGGAGGCATAAAAAGCCAAATAGCGCTGGGCCGCCCCTCTCGCCCACCTGGGCCTCTCCAAACCCTCCCGCGGCCCAGAAGGGCGGCGCGGCAGCTGGACAGAGGGCCCGCCCCAGACAGAGCAAGCAATCGCGCGCCAGGATTGAGCTCGATGCATCGTCGCCAGACTTTCCCCGGTCGCACGGGAAAGAGAGGCAGATGGCGATGGCAGCCTTACATGGGCGACGACAAGAGACGGCTTGCGACGGTGGCGGGGACAGCGAAGTCGAGTGAGAAAGAGCGCCTGCTTACCTGCTTCAGCTCCTCCAAGATGCTCTCATCGACGCCGTTCTCCTCGAGATCAACGCGCGATGCCTCGAGGACGTCCAGAATGATCTGTTGGTAGACCTGGCCGACCTGAGTGTTCGACATGGTGGCGAGCGTCGCGAGAATGTGGTTGATTGTGAGGTGCGGTGTTCCTCGGTTGTGTGATGGTCGCCGACAGGGAAGGCACCGAAAAGGCGTGGTGCAGACGTGCCCCGCGGATCGTCGAGGGCGTGGGCGGGCCTTTGATCGAGCCGTGCAATGTGAAAACCGTCGAATGCGGGCGGCGCTGCTGCGATGGCAGTGGCCTGTTCTTGTTGGTGATGACGATATTCAATGGGGCCCGGTTTGCGGGTGGGTGAGGTTGAGTGAGTGGGTGTGGGTTGCTGAACCAAACCAAACCAAACCAAACCAAACCAAATTGCTCTTGCCGGCTGTCCACCACCAGAACCCCGCGCGCACCTGCTACCCTGGGCAATCCCTTGCGACTATTGTCCCTTGCGTGCCTCACGTTCTCTGCTCTGTGATCCCCCGGGTGCTGGCGTGCAGAGTGATCTCTGCGTGGAATTCGTAATGTCTGTATGCGGGTGTTGTAGATTGCTAAGTTCGCTTGGTCATCCTAGTACTGATGTAGACCCAAATCGGAGCGGGCCTCTCCGTCACGTGATTTTCGAGTCAACCCAAGTCTAAGTGAGCCTCAACCAAGACACTCCCACTCGCACTGTGGCTTTTGGACTGGGATAGACAAAAAGATACTGCTGCAGCCGCCGCCAAACCCACCATGGGTCGCCGTGAAAGTTGAAGTTGGAACGGGGATTGCCAGCTGGTGGTGAGGTGGATTTGGTACCAATTCAGGTCATCTCTTACGTTGGCCCGATGGATTCAGATTTGTTTGTCACAATGTCGCTGCCACAGACGTCCCAGTGCGCAGGTCTAACTAGCGTGTGATGGATCAGGGGCAATGCAAAGACGAGCAGTGCTTTTTGTTAGAAAAGGTCGGCCCGCCAGATACCAATGTTGTCTTGAGTATCTAAAAAGCGGCCCTTTTTTTTCTTTTATTACTCCTGCAAAGGCATCTAGCCTCTTGCGCAAATCATGTTCTTCTCTGCAACTTAATGTACAATGGCAAACTCCCAAAAACTCCGGATGCAAAGTGCTATCCCCCAAGGCGTGCGTGCATGCTTGCACAATTCGTATCTCATGACCAAGGCAAAAATCCAGCCGAGTCTCTGCAAGCGAGCGGGTATCAAACGAACACTGAACTCCGCGCTGAAAGACTTGAAACCGCAGTACCCAATCATGCCAGAAAGGAATTGTGTTTACCTACTGTTGACGATGATGCTGACATATACTGGCAGTTCTGCAGTTATCGGATGGTCATCTGCTTGGTCATCTGGGCCTTGCTGGAGGAGCCACTTGCACCAACACCGGCCGAAGCGCCCGCCTTCTTCTCAAACACCTTCCAGAACTTCAAGCTCTCGTCGGCAGCTAGGCAGCGCGTGTTAGTCAGGACTCTCTCGATCAGGTCGTGTTCGGGCGCAAAGGTCACTTACCGGCAGTCGCAAGCATCTGGCCGTCCGGGCTCAGGCAGCTGTGGAGAACACGGCTCTCGTGGGCCGGGATCTCAACGTTGCGGACCATGGTGGGATAGCTCCAGATGCTGAGAGAGTTGTCCGGGAAACCGCTCGAGCTGACGATCTCCTTGTAGGTCGTGCTCCAGCGCAAGCTGGTGACCTGAGATCCGGTGTCGATGCTGTTGACGCGGGCACCCGAGGTGGTGTTCCAGAAGTGGATGTGGCGGTCGTACGAACCTCCGCCGGTGGCAAGAAGGTTGGCGTTCCACGGGCACCAGGCAAGAGCCTTGACGGCCGCCTTGTGGTTGGTCTTGGTGAACTTGGGGACGGCCAGGGAACGGGCATCCCAGATCGACACCAGGTTGTCGTTGCCGCCAGTAGCGAGCTGAGCACCATCGCCGCGCCACTCAAGGCCGCAGACCTCCGAGGTGTGGGAAACGAGCTCGGCAATCTTGTGCTCGGCGATGCGGACATCGTGGTTGAACACGAGGCCGCTGCGGGCGCCGGTGGAGAGAAGGTGCTTGTTCCAGCCCATGACGCCGACACGGGTATCGTGGCCGAACATGCTGCGGATCTTCTGACCTTCAGCGACATCCCAGATCTGCACCTCGCCAGTGCCGAGGCCGACGCTGACGTAGGCACCATCGCCAGACCACTTGACACTGCTGACGTACGTGTCGGGGCTGGTCTCCAGAAGACAGCTGACGCTGCCCTCATCGGCAGACCAGACGTAGACATTGCGCTCCAGGCCGATGGCGACCTGGTTGCCGGAGCTCCAGTCGAGCAGGTTCAAGTAGTAGTCATCAATGAGACCAGGGGCGTCCAGGACTCGCTCAGGGGCAGTGGCCACACGGCGGCGGAACTGGGCCGAGTTGGTGGCCGACTTCAGGGGGCGGTTGTACTGCTGTCTGAGGTCGATGGGCTTGGACGACTCGGGGGGTGCGGGCTTGAACTGCAGGATACGCGTGTTGAGGCTGACCCCGCAGGCGCTGGCCAGCGAGTCTTGGTAGGCAACGCTGTTGGGCGAGGGCCGAGAGTACGTGGCGGCGTCATCGTCATTGATGTTGAGGCCCTCGAGCGCGGCAATGGCATCATCGGCCGCCGAGGACAGGACCGTGGAGCTCTCGCCGTTGCTGGTCTTGGGTCTCTGCTTGTCCTGGACGTCGAGCTTGCCAGAGCCCTTGTTGGCAATGGCCGAGCTGTTGCTGCGGTTGGGAATGAAGCGGTCGGCAGCGTAGGAGATGGTGGTCTTGTTCGACTTTGACCTCAAGGGCGCCTTCTTGGAGCTGGCGGGGGTCTTGGTATTGCCCGTACCGACGAGGGTGAAGTCTGACACGCCAAGCTCGAGAGCCTTGCGGGGAGTGGAGACACCACGGGCGATGTTGGACTTGGGCGAGTCGCGGTGGGACCTCGACGAGGCCTTGGCAAAGTGTGAAGACAGGTTTCCTCCGTAGACCGACTTGCCGGCCGCATTCGACTTTCTCTCGGGGGTGAAGGGGGACGAGTCCAAGTTCACGGCGACGGGGGCGGTGGCTTGGCGTTGGCGAGGAGAAGGAGTCAGGGGCATGCGACCGCCAGCGGTGCGGGAGGAGAAGAGTCCGGCGTGGGACTTGAGAGGGGTAGATACTGCAACTGAGGCCATGATGTCTGAGATGACGGGTATCTGGTGGGGGTGGGTGGGGGGTGAGTTTACTCCGACGATATGCACATGAAACTGCTACGAAGGAGGTGTTGGAAGCTCCGAAATAAATCGAACGAGCTCCAAGAGACTCAAGTTAATGGTTCCTGGAAAGTGTTGTATCTGGTTAGTATTCTCTGTCGTTGTGCTCGATTAATCGAAGGTGGCCTTCACGAAGAACGGCTGTAAGTCGGCGGGGCGATCAAATGGCTGCGGGCAGCGATGAGATCTAGTGGACTGTGGTTGCAGATTGCTTGCGCGAGGCGTAGATGTGGGAGCGAGGAGCGAGGAGCTCGGGACGAGGCCTCGAGAGGAGGGAGAGGGTGGTACGGACTGTAGAGGTGGTTTGGTTTATGGGAGAGAGAGGAGGAAGAGAGACGTTGAATTGCACGCCTTCACTCGGGATCTTTATGTTGACTTAGTGTGGGGCCGCAGGGAAAAGCGTCTCACAGGGCAACCGCCGCACGAGTCGAAAGGGGGGAACTGACGGGGCTGGGTGGCTGAGCTGTGCTCGCCGGCAGGTCCGTGCGGTGGCGCCGCGTTGGCTGGCCGGCGGGCTGCGGCGTCGGCAGCGGCGGCCTTTCTCTTTCCTTGTCCTTGCCCGCATCCCGCATCCCGCATCCCGGAAGCGACCAAAGACCACCGACCGCAACGCCCGATTGTGGATTCCGTCTCATCACTCAGTCACTGCCAGTCCAAGTCCAACCCCACATCCACGTCCACGTCCACGCCCACGACACCGTATCCCGTCAGGCGCATCCGCCGTGTCACCCGTCGGATCGCAACAGCTTCTGCTCCTCCGCGGTACAGCATACGTCGTGTATCGCGACTGCTCCAGCCAGCGCCCGTCCCGCTAGTCCTGCTGGTCCCGCGTGTCGCGCCCGTCCATTGTCTCCGTCGAGTCTTTGTGTTTCGTGCGCCGAGCACTCGCCGTCCTCCGCCAGCGCATTGGGTCCCGAGATGCCCACTTAGCGGCACCTTCCCGTTCCAACTACCAACGAGAGCAAAGCAAACCGCCCGTCTTCTGCCCGCTGTCTGCCCGCCTCAGCTTCACCATGGCCCAACCCTCGACGCCGGCCTCGGGCGCCCAATCGTCCATCTTCGGTGGCCCCTCGGCCTCCTCTTCCATGACCTTGCTCCCGCATGCCCCAGCGCCACCGCCCGCCGTGTCCTTCACGCCCATGGGCTCCAACGCCCCGACGCCCGTGTCCGTCGCCTCTTCGAATAACACCTTCGTCATGCCCAACTCGCCCGTCAAGGGAAGGACCATGGTCGACGGGAATTACCGTCCCAAAGTCACCAGGACCCTCGGTCAGCGCCCTGCCTGCTTGGTCAATGCCTCTGTCACCTACTGTGGAAACAACCAGATCGTTGCCTTTGGTGGTTTCGACCAGTACACCGACGAAGTGTACAACCATGTGCTGAAGCTGGACCTTGCAAGCCACCAATGGAGCCTCGTGGACAATTATGGGGACATTCCTGGTGTCCGAATGGGTAAGTCTGGCGTATTATGGCATGTATACCCCGTAGGCTGGCGGCCAGCATCGCTGATGAGACCCTCTAGGCCATACCGCTACTCTATATCAAGGCGACAAGCTGTTAGTGTTCGGCGGTGAGAACGAGCATCGTACCTATCTATCCGATCTCATCATCTTCGATCTGAGAACGGCACACTGGACCCAACCTCAAGTTACCGGCCCCGTTCCCAAGGGCCGTGCCCGGCACGCCGCCGTGCTGCACGAGGACAAGTTGTTCATTGTTGGTGGTATCACGGGGCATGACAATTACGTCTTGGATGACATCTGTTACCTGGACCTCAAGACCTTCACATGGTCCAAGTCATGGCGCTTCGTTGGGAGGTTTGATCATTCTGCCCACATCTGGAACGACAGGGTATGGGTTTTCGGCGGTCTCAGCGAGGACATGGACAAGATCGGGGATTTATGGTGGCTCGACCTGAAGGGCAGCCCGGCCTTCGACTCGTCTCCCCAGTTTGGCACTGTAGATCGACACACTCCCTTGAACCGGGTCGCAGATTCTCCCCGTCAGCCATACTCGATCACCGGAAACGGAGTAATCGGGGCTTCAGGTTACGCAGCCAATTCACGGACAGCTCAGGTCAACACGCCATCGTTCCAACTGAAAACATATGCGCCCATGGCTCCTGGCGCCATATCCTCTTTGAAATTTATGTCTGGGCTCAATGTTCCATCCCAAGGCTCTGGAGCGCACTATCACCTATACTCGTCCGGGACTCTACTGGATTTTGTAACGCCAGGTGGGACAATTACCTCGAAAGAGTGTTCCCTGTCTGCACTCGATCTCGGCAGTCTGCGTTGGCAGAAGCTAGCTGAAGGTCGTGAAATCTTCAAGACTGGCTACCGATGGCATTACTGTACTATGAACGAGGATGGCACGAAAGCCTGGCTGCTGGGCTGCCCTCAAGACAATATAGGAGGTGATCTCGGTCCTACCGGGTTCGAGGAATACTTGAGTGAAATAATGGAAATCGACCTCCGACGTTACGGGTTCCTTGGGAACAATGTTCCGGAAACTCGGGCAGAGCTATCTCGCCCCTCGGCTCACAGAGTCTCGGAGCAGCCCTCGAAAGGCCTGGGTCTTGACCTTGCTAAACTGTTCAACCAACCCCCGGAATCTGGGAGCGGAACCGACTTTGTCATCACGGCCCTGGCTGGCGACTATGAAGAAGACGACATGATGAGCTCCAGCCACGTCCGGGCAGGCGAAGCCGACAACCAGAATTGGCTTGCTCCCGACGCCCCTACTTCGCCCCCGATCCATGTACACAAACTCATCCTACAGGCACGCTGGCCACACTTCGCCAGGCTCTACAATGCTCAGATGGCTGAGTTCCACACCAAGAAGATGCATATCCCAGAACCATACAGTGTGGTGAAAGCCTTTCTCTACTACTTGTATACCGATAGTATACATGCGGATGACGGGGTGACAGACCTGGCTGATGTGGCAGGGCTCTTGGTCATGTCCAACATTTACAACATTCCTCATCTACGTCTACTCTGCGTCAACAGGCTCTCCAAGGAGCTCGACGTGGTCCACGCCTGTATCATCTGGTATTGCGCTGGGCTCGCAAACGAAGAATGGCTGAGGAAACGTGCGGCGACCTACTGCCTGATGAACTGGGGCCGCATCGTGCGAACGCCGGGCTTCCTGAAGTTACCGCGCAACGCCCTCGTCGAGCTCTCTCAGGAGATCGACACGGAGGGGCGCGTTATTGGAGGCGACGAGCTTGAATACGTCGACGGGGTGCACAGCGGACCGTACGATGGCATGTCCCGGAAAGACAGTGTCAGCAGTGATCGAACCCAAGCCTTGCCCTCCGATATCGATGATTCGGAGGGTATGGATTTAGCGTGAGCCTCTGCCTGGCTGCGGAGCCCAGGTATCCGCCATGATAGCCTCTTATCATCTGGGAGACGTGCTTCCGCTGGTCGACCCTCAAGCTACACGACGTATACGAGTAACGACGACAACATCATCACCATCTGCATAGGGCTAGGCTAGAATTGGGACGGCCATCATTGTACTTTGCTTGGAGAAGTCTTTTCTGCGGGGAGTTATCGGATTTGGCATACAATGGACTTGACATGCATGCACGGGGAGCATCAGCGCGTACGCTAGGAATACCTCAATCTATGCAGTTGCTTACAATGACGTATTGTCATCACCGAGTAGCAACAGTATCTGCCAAGAACGCGTAGCCTGTGGAGCCTGACTGGAGTACGATTTCCCGAAGACCCAAGGTCCCACCTAAACGGCCGTTGCCCATTAACCCATGTCCGCCATGTGCGCTGCCCACGCTGCCGCGCTACTCTAGAGAGAACGGAGTCGAGATGTGGGTGCTCACAGCGGGCCTGCTCCCTGACAAGCCTGGAATGACGGGCACTAGTTTAATACTATTACACCACTGAACTGCTTCACCACTTTTAACATACCGAGCGACTGGGCAACGTAGAGATGTTCATTGGATATGACAGATCCCGCCCCGAGCCACGCTTGCGACAATGCATTTCCCAGGTGGTGGTGACCCCGTAACCCCCCGGCAACCTGGTCGTGTTTGCGGCTCCATCGCAAGGGGGGGCTGTTGTCCAGAGATCGGGATCGCAGGTATAAATCAGAACTCACGGTCCCCGGTCGGGGCCCAGCCGGGTATCGTCAATCAGCTGAAGAGCCCCCAGCTTGCCAGCCATGGTGTTTTATGTGTCAGCCGAGTACCGGCCGAGATACGGACGGGTGTCTCGTCGGGGATCATTACGTAGTGACCAGGGGGGCAGGTTCCCATGCAATGGCCCCTGGCGACTTGCACCCGCAATAGGGCAGTTCTGAGCGCCCGCGCGGCGGGTCGGCTTACACAGTAGGCAATTGCCATGGGGGCGGAAACCTGTAAGTCAGTTACAGTAACTCGTACAGTACCAAGCCAGGAAGACAAGACGGGCGTGCGCTAGGCCGAACAGGACTCGATCGTCCGGAAGGGGGCACAACGCGGGCGGAAGACGTTCCTCGCCTTGGGAAGAGGGCGGTGGGGAGGCGGCCACTCGGCCGGCGGAGGCGGACCAGGTTCCTGCCGATAGGTATTATAGTCTGTAGAGGACAGCTTGGACGGGAGCCCAGAAGGCATGCCCGCTCGATGCGGTAAGCCCGTAGCGGGAAACTCTAGATTGATCTGCATTTTCTGCGTTGGGACTAGAGTATATCCCTAGAGAGTGATACCTTGGGCTTTGGCTTGTGATCGGGGTGGAAGAGAAGCCAAAGGATAACGGGGGAGCGGATGAGGTAAGGGAAGTTGCCGGGGTGGTGGTGAATTGAGTTGAAGCCTGGGGCGTTGGTGGTTTTGCTCGGAAAGCCCTATGGAAACTCTCGATTGCGCGCATTGGGGGCGCCTCGTTATCTAAGGTTTACGCTAGGATAAGGCGGCTCAGGGCCCTGTCTCTTGTCTGCCATGCCAAATGTGTCCCAGACGCGGAGCTGCCATGTATGTAGGATGAAGTCAGACATGCAACCTTGGAACAGCGTTGCGGGTCAAGGATCGGACGACACATGCAAGACGGAGGTGCTGTGGGAAACAGAAAGCCTGGGGAAAAGGTTCAATGGTGCGTCTGGGCTGCATGAGTCTTGTCCCGGCCATGTTCGGCCCTGCGCAGGGATCGCGGGGAGTCGGGCCCCGGGGGAGAAAGCTTGCCAAGGTTCTGGCATCCGAGGGGCTTGCGGAATACTCCTGCCCACATACGTGATGGACCTCATCCCGCCATGATGTCTTGCGTTGGTTTCGGGTAGTGGATCGGGCGATGTCGTCAGTCTCGCAACGCCGTGGGGCCCTGGCTGTAGCTCGGAACTATCATCAGCCTCCAACAACGTTCAAGGCTGATAACACACCAGCCCGGCGATTAAGTCCATAACGAGCTGGAAACCCCATAGTCAGAGTATTATTGCGGGTGTCGCTGGCTTGATCGCGGAAGTCGCTCTATAACTGCCCGGCCAGAAACCGGGCATAGGTAGCTTCTGATCAAGATCTCGTGAATGGAACCAGTCAAGATTATCATTGATAAAACATGAAGGCCGCTCGGAAACCGCTCGAGATTACGTCAGTATCTAATCGAGGATCGCGATACTAGAACGATGGGACGGGCAATTCGGAGCGGAGACGAGGCAGATGGCGAGGCGCCGTAGCATGTTGTAAGTAAGAAGTGAGCTATGAAAGGGTTTGTGGCGGTAACTACCTGCTGCGGTGTATCCCATCCCACGGCATGAGTATATCAGCTCTATAGTAATGAAATGATTATCTTATGTAGGTTCCTTTGTACGCCGTGAAGACTTCACACCTAGATAAGCATTTAAACTCTCCTGCAAATGATCATGTATACAAGGTGTCCTGGTGACCGTGACTCGTACCTTACTGTTGTTCACTGTAATCTTGCCAACACCAAGTCTGCCACAATGGAAAGGGGCTGCGTATGGAAGACTTCCTCCAACCAGAGCAAGCAGCACCAGGCTAGGGTCCCAGACATGTAGCACTAAAGAATAGGAGACGTAACATATCGTGTCTATAAGCAGCCGGAGATGGCTTCTGCCGATGCTGTATGAGCGTCGGGTAATACTAAATGTACAAGAGTCATTGCCCCGACAGGTCATCAAAGGTTCATTAAGCGGATGCCATCTTGCATGCTTGGAAGTCCCTGCTCCTCGCACTCCTCGAAATAAAACGCTCGCTCTCCTCACCCACGTATGTATCCTGACTGAGATGTTGACAGTATAGGAACACAGTAAGCACCGAGGAGGCTCGACGCCGAGCCATTCCAGATTGCTCGGCGGATAAAGTACGCTGCCCTGTGCAAGATGCACAGGCGAGATACGGATGCAAGCAGTAGAATTCCACGTAAAGTCTATCGGGGGTATATGGGGCGAGAGTCTCCCGAAGGGAAAAAACAACAACGCAGTAACGCCGGCCAATGCAGAAAATTGACAACTTTTCCGAGCCGAATGAGAGAAGTGAGGCCGCAGTGCGAATGTAGCAGCAGCCGAAACATCCAGTCTATGTGCAGTGTTGCATCTGTCTATGCGGTGTTTTCATATAGAGAGGAGGTCGGGGGAGGTGGCGACAATATTGAGTTGAGTTGGCGGACCAAGACCACGAGCCGAGTGTGCAACACCCGAGTATCCAATCGTGGTAGCTAATGCAGCAACTGGGGTGAATCACATCTGCATGTCCTCGCCGATCCCGGGGAGCCCCGACATGTTCAGCGCGCCCATGGAAAGACCAGACATGGTGGGGGTCGACATGTTGGACATATTGAGATTCATCTGGTTGCTGGCATTGGCAGCCCAAGCCGCCTTGAGACCGGCAACCTGGGCGGCAGCCTCACAGGCAGGCGAGTGTTGTTTGTGCTTCAAGACATCAATCAGTAAGGAAGCGGACGCCGTTTACTGCGGGGGAGAACTCACGTATTTGAGACCGTTAAGGTTCTTATACCGTTTATTGCAGTACTCGCACTTGTGGGGCTTTTCTTTCTCCATACCCATTTCGCCAGGATACGGTGCCGACGTCTCCGGGTTGACGATGGAAAACGTACCGTCTCCGTTTTCATGCAGCTGCTGGGTTTGGTGGCCGTGTTGCTTGTGGTATCTGCATTATCGATTAGCGATAAGAAATAAATTATTGCGGGCGGGAACAAAGAACCAGAGGGGGGACGAGGGAAAAGGGACACGACGAGAGAAAAGATGAAACTCACTTCAACCCGTTTTGATTCTTGTATGCCTTCTCACACCCGATGACAGGACACTTGAAAGGCTTGTCCTCTTCGGGGGGCATGACTATAGTTCCGTTGGTTGTGCCGATGGCGCGCTGGATTATTGCCATCTGCTGCGGGTCGGTAATATCCGCAAACTGCGACTGGTCCAGCCCGAACTGGGCCATCTGCTGCTGCAGGCGCTGCTGAGCCAAGGCGCTGTTGTTATTGGGGCTGTACAACCGCTTCGCCGGATCGTCAATGAAGCTGGAGAGATCGCTACCAAATGCAGAGAAGTCGCCCAGGTTCATATTGGCAACAGCCGACATTGGATCGTCGTTATTTGCGGCCAGCGGGTTGTTCTGCGTTTGCGTCGTCGCCAGGGTTGGTGTGTTAACGGAAGAGACAGTCGGATTGTTCTGGAAGCCAAAGCCTGAAGCACCGGGCGTCGAGGGCTGCGAGGTCCGCAGGGCTTGTTGCGACATGCCCGTGCCATTCAGGTTGAGAGACAGCTGAGGGCGCTGCTGTTGACCAAACATCTGGCGAGTCTGCTGGATAGCCCGTTGATTGCTGTCGTCAAGTTCCATTGGGCCGACAGCATCGTCCATCTCCATGTCGCCTATGGTTTCCAACTCATCATTGGTAGTCATGTCCATCAGACCAGAGGACTTCTGCATGCCGGACTGTTGTCTGCCCATCTGCATGCCCCCAAAGCCGAAGCCGGCATTACCGTTGCCGAGCGCGGACCTGTTCTGCTGCCCAAGGCCGAACTGGCCCTGAGGCGGGAAGCCCTGCGAGTCCCGTCTGCCACTAGCCGATCCATTCGAGATGGATGGCCTGCTAATGGAGAGGCGGTGCCCCATAACGTTTGGTCTCACCTGAGAGTTCGAATTCGTGTGAACTGTCTCATAATGGCGCAAAAGGTCGTGCATGGTGTCTAGTTGCTGGTCGCAACATATGAAGTTGCGCAGGAACTCGGCCTCCATCTTGGGGACATACGAGTTCGAGTGCGGCGACTGGGCGCCCAGGAAGGGCGACGTGCCAGCCATGGCCAAACTATCGCGAGTATAATCAGCAGGTGCCCGAGGTCGAGATGGATGCGTGCGCCGGGCGTGTCTCAAACAACGTCCCATAGTGGGCAGCACGGCGTCAAGCGACAGGTTAGGCGAGAGACAACTTACTCATCTCTAATATAACTACCGACGGAGATGCCTCCCCAGCTCATGCCGTTCATGAGACTGCCGGCGAGCGACTCGCGGCGGCCGCGGCCTTGGTCACGAATGTTGTTGGCATTCATGGAGATGGGCTTGGGCCCCGTGCTCACGAAGGAGTCCTGGCGGGAGCGGCCAAAGGCCGGCTCGAGGTTTGGTCCGGTCGTCATGTCGAAGTCCTGGTCGTGCAGTTGGTAGTTGGTCAAGGTGTCGGCAGCGGCGGCGGTGGTGGTGATGGTGGGAGGAGGGGCCTCGACCTCCTTCAGTCTGCCGTCGGGCGTAAGGTAGCGATCAACTGGCGATGCACTGGCCGAGCCGCGGATGTTGGGCGTGGCGATGCCGTCAGTCTTGAGAGGAGCGGGAGCGCAGTCGCCAAATACGTTGCGACGGGCGGCAAAGACTGGTGTCGAGTCGTCGGGAGTGGCGGGCTGTGGTGAGGGCGAAGGCGAATCGACGGAGTGTGAGGAAGAAGGTGTAGGAGCGACAGCGGAACCGCCAGTGAATGCGTCGGGGCTTGTGCGGCTGGCTGACGGGTGCTCGGTACTATTAGTCGTTGGAGACCCCGTCATGCCCGTTAACCAAGAACTTATGCCCTTCATGGCAGTAGGCCTGTGGGGATTGGGCGGAATAGCGGCGGAAGAATGGGCCCAAAAAGAACAAGTACTGGAGGGCCGGTAGATTCTGCGGGAGCGCTGCGCGGGACAGTCCCCAAAGGTAAAAAAATAAAAAAACTGTTTGTAGTACGAACAAGTAAACCGAGTACGTAGCGGGAACTGCGGTCTATGTACAGCAGATGCGGTAACGTCTTGCTCTGCTCTGCTTTGCTTCTAGGATTCCCACCCAGTGCCTCGGGGACGGAAGGGAAACACGGGCGGTAAGTAATAACAAGAACGGCGGAAATGGGGCGCTGGTGATGCGTTGGTGTAGGGATGGTGTGCGTCTGGGTTGGGCTGGGTTGGCGCTTTCTCTCGAGCAGATGTCGAGGACAGGGAAGCCTTAACAAGTGGCCGGGACTTGGGACGTAATAGAAGACTAGGGGCAGCAGTGACGGGCCTGGCGCTTCTATGTGGTTATGTATGTAATAACGCAACCAGCTCAGGGTACAGGGGAGCTGCCAAAGAGCCGCTTTTGTTCATGTGCTTTCGCTTGGAGAGAGAAAACCAGGCAGGGCCAGCTTGGTGCTTGGGTGCAGCAGCTGCGTTGCGTCGGCGTGCGACTCTCTTGCGGCGATGCGACGGATGACTTCAGATCGCCCTTTAGCGCCGCCTCGTGGGTTCTGGGATATCGAAGGCAAATTGCCTCTCCGAGAGACACTCTGGCCTGGCGTTTGTGGAGCGTCCTGGTGGTGGCTGCAGATGCCACATGCGAACAAACCTTAAACGGGGTCGGGTCAATGACTCAGGAAAGTGTATTCCCTCCAAAGTTGGATTTGGGGTAGATAGCCTGTTGATTGATTGATTGATGATCCCCGATCCGGGAGCGAGTTGGAGAGGCTATGAGAGCGAAAGACGTAATGCTTGCCTGCCGTGGCCTTGACGCCCAGGGGGGGCGGGGGGGAGACGATACACAGGAGTTGAGTGTTGGGCAGATCGTGGGTGATGCCCGGATGTCGCTGTTGGAGAGAGCTGCGTTACCCTGCTGTAGGGTGTCGTTCGACGTACACAGTAACTTGGATATCGTGAGACTGGTAACCTTGTGTGGAGAACCGCCACGCGTTGCACACAACACAGTTCGAATTGATGGGTGTCAGAGAAGCAGAATGATGAGCTGTCAAAGTGTCTGTGCGATCCGTACGGACGGAAGGAATAATGATTTTGTATTATGCATCTATGGATAGCATTGGACCTCCTGCTGGTCTGTTGCTGGTTTTTCTAGTTACTAGGTCGATACCAGGAGAGCTAGGGGTGCTCGAATATGAGCGCCAGATAGAGTTAAGTCTTGATCGTGGATGCACGCATTCCCCGAGCGACTCGAGCTCAACCCCTTGCTAGCCATACCGAGCCAGATGTCGTCGATCAATAGTAGTGCAGCCCAGACCAGCGAAGGGCCCATGAGGTTGGTCTGCTCCTGTGGTGTGTTTTGTATTTGCAATTGTTGGTATGCGATGTAGTCTGGGGTGGGCATACTCGAGTCAACCTGCTTATCACTTACATGCAGTCGGTGCGGTGAAGACGCACAAGGTTGGAAAGATGGTGTGAAGCACACACGGTTGGGGACCTGCAATCAATTCGATTCACACCGATTGAGGAAAGCCGACGCTGTGGGATTCGCTACCAATGGGTCCCGCTGCGACGGGATAATCTCTTGCGTTGATCTTGGCGGTCCTGATCCCTCATGGAGCAAGTAATCGGACTTGCCTGCCCTTGACCTCGCCGTGACCCCCGGCCTCAGCGCTTCTCCACGATGATGTCGCGCACGATGATCAACTGACGTCGACGGCCTGCGGTCCCTGGAGGCCACGAGCGCTAGTCTCCTCCGTTCAGATGGAGACGGCAACGATAGTTTGATGCCATGGTAGTAGCTATCGGAAGTCAAGTGCATACAAGCGCTCTATCATGGCAACACACTACCGATACGCATTAAGTCGGCCTGGTGTCGAGTCTACAGGCCTCAATGGTGCAACACGAGTTGGCTTCGATCCTGCGCACCAGTCGGACGAGTCCCGTCCGGAATATGAGGGAGGAAGTAACTCCGGCTAAGCAGTTGGGGGCGTAAGGCAAAAGGCGGAATGGTGCCGGAGACGTTATATCAATGACTCGCAATATCGCAATTCTTACTGCAACATCTGCAATGCAGCACGCTACCTTCAATCCCGCCATGATTGGTTTCGTGCTACTGGTATTGATTGCTTACACTCCCTCTCAACGTTGCTGACTCCTGCAATTCGAGCTGACGGGACCGGCCTGTACCCCAGGGCTAGTTATCGCGATCGGGACCCCAAGCGGCCACAGGAACAGACTGTCCGTGGTTCACCAGCCCGTTCGTAGGAGTTGCTTGACTCATACCGTCGAGTGCTGGGATTGTTTAATGGCCAATAGTGGTCCGGGAAACGCCATTGGGCGGCAGCATGCTAGCTAGCCTAAGGATAGCCACTCCAAAGTCCCTTGGGGACATGGCTGTAACATCCTATTGGTGGGGTTCTGGGTCTCCTAGATGAAGCTGGCCTCTGAGAGGGCTGGGAGCAAGGGGGCGTCCGTGTCTCACGGACTGTTGACATTGGGTTACCGGATCAGGCAACCCTGGCATGCAGCTGACAAGGCGAGATGCGCACCATTGCCTCTACCAACTAACATAGCCTTGATAGCCTGGGGAGGCGACGATGGCCCTTGCAGAGTTTGGGGTTGAGCTGAACAGACTTACTCGAGAGCTGAGGCCTCGAAGCCTCACTTGTGCGGGCTAAGCACCGAGTATACCACCAATCATGCTAGTCCCGATTCCTTCGAAGGCCCATCGATCTCTACTAACTTAGCAAGATGGGAGCTGTGTTAGGTCTGTGGTCTAGGGCGCTGCCTATGCGATCGATACCTTGCTACCCAAGCCCGGCCTGCATGTCCAGTCTCGACTCGTCACGTAACCAAGATGCATGACATAGCTAAGTGTAGATCTCCTGCAAAGAATCGGGCATCGCATAGCAAGCTTGGGTGGAGAGGTCCCGCTTCCATCTTGGAGACTCGGCAAGATTGCTTTCTACGTAGTATACACTGTGGGTTGACTCTTCGCACAGAGAAATTAACTTGGTTTTCAGAGTGACGCTCAGGCTGTTATATCTCTATGCTTGTTTGACTATGATTCTGCGAATGCCTCCAGCCGCGCAAAAGCCAACAGCACCAAGGCGCCATGCTGCCTCCAACCAGCTTGGAAGCTAGGTATCATCGTGGCTTCCATGCGGTCAATGGGTCGCTCTATACTGGACTGTTAAAGCCGGTAGCGTGTCCATCCGCTCACTATTAGCTCTCGGCAGGTGTGTGTCAAAAGCGATCTAAGCTGACTGGTCCGACTGAAGTCCGACTGGAGCTTCTTAACCATCACCATCGTTTCGCCTCCGCTCGAGTCTACGGGCACTAAGGCGTGTGTAAGTGTGAGCCCTACCCGGCTGAGCGGCATCTCTGTTGGGCTGTTCCTGACGAGATCAACAAGTCGTTCTAGACTCTAGATCCCTCGTCTCGAGACTGCTGTCGCCCTATAATACCCACAGTATCGACTCGGCCGTGTCGCCTCCAGTCCATCAGGACGGTCGTTGATATCTGGAACACTGCGCGTAACATCGCTCCGCAGACCTCCGTTCAGATTGACCGATGAATTGACATCATGCCTCGTGCTCGCAAGCACAACCCGGGGCTCGCAATTTCCCGTTGGTGCTGCAGCTCCCTGCCGGATGCGGTACGAGCTGTTTTACGGATATTGCACACCGCCCTGACCGCCTTGGGAGCCGCGGCTGGCGGGCAACAGGAGGATGGGTCGCTTGGTGCGGGTCGCTTCAGGCTGTCCCAGACTCCTGGTCCTGGCCTGGAAGCTTTGGAAGCTTCTGCAGCAGTGCTGTAGGGGGACCCTGAAAACACCGTTTGGGGAGGGGAAATCCCCCTAAGCCCCCAGCCAACCCGCCTAGTGGCTGTGGGCCCCCAAGGATCCATCCATGGATGGTGACCATGCGACCAACCGCCCTGGTGCTCGCCTTGGGCCACCAAGAAACACAGGGGTTTCCCAGCGGGTATCGTGACTTTCAAAATTCAGGGTCCTGATCGTCGCGCAACACCTATCACCGATACCAAAGCTTTGGGCATCGTGTGTCCTCTTGGACCACACCAACACCACGCTCAGATCTGTACAATTCAGTCGCCAATCAAACTACTGCCCCTTTGCCAGTCACGTTCTAGTCTAATGTGCCTACCTAGGAAGGTAAGTATAAGTTGACATTGCCAAAACACCAAGTGCCCACCTTTAACCCCTCCCCCGCGGAGGACGTGTGCCCAAGTTATGGAGGCCTTCCTGGGTCTCCTCTTCCAGTGGAGGAATGAGGGCCTTTACCGAGGGTGGTGGAAATGGACTCGGCTTCCAGGAGTGGCCTGTTTCTATGCTCAGCTAAGCTCATCTCCGAGCCGCGGTACGTCTATGGCATATGCCACGATGTCCTTGTCATTACATTGAATTGCACCGGTAATATGCTGTACAATAGCACTAACGCAATTACTCCCAGTCGGCGCTGAGAACACATGTAATGAGCACATTAGCTGATGGTCCTGTTGATGGGTCCAGATCTTCACTGTGTCGGAGCAGCCGCCATCCGTAAACAAGCTCCTCCTCTCTACTATATGCTCATGCAAGCTTGTATAGCATTAATCCACCAGGGGGATGAATAATAATCCTCATGCGGCGACATGGAATGGCGATCTTCACGATAGGCACTCAAGCTATTGGACTTGGTTTAGATGACTCCAGCTGGTAGCGAATAGTGGTGTTAATTCGAGTATTAGTAAAGTCGGGCCAAATTTTTTTTTCTCAAGCCCTCCTGCCGGTACAGCTAGCGCGTGACGACTCCTGCCAAGCCCGACGGTCTCTTCCGACGACGGCAAAGGCCAAAATAGCGCCCGTCGTCAGCCCGGACGAGAACTCCGAGAAAGCGAGGATAATTTTGGCAGAAAGAATGTGCAGACGGAACCCATTCCATGCAGCCTCGCCCCTTGCGCCGAAGCAGCGAGGCGCCAAGCTAAGCGACAAGGGTACGGTCCGTCCTAGAAGGCTTCTAGAAGGGGGACAATCCCGCATCAGGCAGTCAGATTGTCAGGGTCCTCTGCGACCCAGCAGCCAGCAGCGAGCCCACAAGCCTGAGGGATCTGAACAGAGATCGGGGTACATCCCGACTGGGACCACATGTTGGATCTGGCCTGTGTAGATAGAGATATTGCGATATCCGGGGGGCACAAATCCATCAAGCGCGAGGTCTCCATCCTTGAATCCTGGTTGGAGTCCTGGTGGCCAGGCGTCGGATCCCGAAGCCCGACGTTTTGCTTGCCTCGCAATACCGCGGCTTTGCTTCACGATGCTAGGACGACGTCGAATAATTTTATCGACAGGCTGCAATGCTTGCCCACAAAAAGACCTTACAGCATCGGGATGAACAAGTCCATTTTCTGTATTTTCTCTCATGTGAATAACATGGACATCAAGGGGGAGGCCCGTGAGGGCGCATGAGTACTTTGTTCCTTGGCCTCTCTCACTCACGGCGTTGGTCCACCATTTTCTACAAAAAACTTGGATGTACTGTGACTGATGACATGACTAATGCACCATCGCAAGATGCTTCACGCATCCAAGGCTGGCGTGTAACGATTCTTGCGCCCATGAGCGAGAACGGGTCTACACCCCGGTGGGTGCTTCGGATGAGACTTCCTTCTCGCTGCGACTTGAGTCAAAGTCAGACCGTCTGACTGGATGGCGTCTGCTGCAGTACCATATCTGCACGGCATCTCGCATGTGGCAGAACCTTACATTTGCTCGGGAGTCGAGGCGTCCCGGAATGCGGCGAACATGCACACGTCTGATGGAAAGCTTAAAAGGCATGGTCAGCCCTGAAGTGCGCCAACGCCGGCGGTGGAACTCGAGCAAATGCCGAAGACGCCCTGGACGGCCGACAAAACAACGACCAAACGGCGAGCTGAGGCGGGACAGGACCCTGAAAGCGGCCGGCAGCTGGAGGCTCTCGTTCCTGCAGCTGCCACCGTCGCAGCGCAGCCTCGAGCGCGGGGCGGGAATAATTCGGGCACATCGGGATTTGAACAGCACCAACACGCGACGGCATTATCAGCCCACTGTCGGGCGATGATGTCAACGAACCCCCGACGTCTACATTGCGTAGCTCCTAGAAAATATCGTGGCTATTTGTAAAAAATAAAAAAATAAACTCACTCAGCGTAAGCGACACCGACCTTTGCGAGGCATTTCTGTTATAAAGCAGCAATCTGGCGGGTGCGCGCAACGAAACGCTCTTGCTTGTTCCCTTGCAGCATCATAAAATTCAAGTAGCCTACCAGTGCCCAACAACCACTAAACGCGACGATAAGGCTACCGTCCGTCTGGCATTTGCGAGATATTTCATTCCCCATCATATCATACGCCAACCCACCAGTATCCTAGGATATCAGCGATACAATTGCGACAACATCTCATCTGCAACAACTCACCTCGGATTTCGCATCGCCTGACCAAATCGGCAGCAACCAGAACTTGCCATCAGCTCGGGGACCCGCACATCGCCCACCGCCAACATGAAGGTCGTCTCCAAGGAAGAAGAGCAGGCGCACTACAGCGCCGTCCTCAAGGGCGGCTTCATCGGCGGCTCGCTAGGATTCGGTCTCGGCCTCATCGGCGTGCTCGGCGCGTCGAGGCGGTACCCGGCGTTCCGGGGGCTGACGCTGCCGTTCCGGTCCTTCCTGGTATCGTCGTCGGCCACGTTCGGCGCCATCGTCAACGCCGAGGCCTGGAGCAATGACTTCCACAAGCACAACAACCCTATGAACTTCTACAAGGACGAGGCGACGCGCGCCATGGAGCTGGCCCGCGAGCAGGAGACCCCCATGCAGCGCTTCCAGCAGTGGGGCAAGAACAACCGCTACTCCATCGTCTTCGGCTCCTGGGTCGCCGCCATGGGCGTCGCCGCCGCCATTGTCGGCCGCAACAAGTACCTGTCGACGTCGCAGAAGATCGTCCAGGCCCGTGTCTACGCCCAGGGCCTGACCCTGGCCGTGCTGGTGGCCACGGCCGCCTTCGAGACGGCCGACGCGCGCAAGGGCGAGGGCCGCTGGGAGACCGTCAAGGTCATCGACCCCAACGACCCCGAGCACAAGCAGCTGATCGAGAAGCGCATCCACAAGGAGGAGTACGAGGGCCAGGACCTGTGGAAGGACATGGTCGCCGCCGAGGAGCGCCGGATGAAGGAGCGAGATGCCGCCAAGCAGAACGGCAACGGCGGAAAGAAGAGCGAGAAGCCGGAGGAGAAGCAGGCGCAGTAAACGAGGGAGGAAACGAGAACAGCGGGCGTTTTTTTGGTTGTAGAAAAGTTCGGAGCTTAGGTCCGGTACTGAATTGCATCCCATGGTTTGCGTCCGGAGTTGGGGGGGGGGGGCATTGGGTCAGCATTCTGAATTTCGCGCTTGGAAGACTATTGTACCAACACATCTTTGGCGTCTGCTCTTAAGAAGAGAGTGTGTGCTTCTACATAACACAAGGGTTGGACATAGAGAAGGGCAAACAGCACTCGCAAAACCGGTGTGGTTGTAATAGCAATAGAGACAAAGTACAAAAAAAATCATCATATACACACATCGCTATGTACGATACCTTCTAGAAAGGGGATTCCGCAAATGTCATACATCATTCCGGCTGATCTCCGCTGTCCCCCATGATAACCATTCAAAAGCAAGTTAACACCTAATCTCTTTTCCAGATGCCCATCCAAACTGACCACGCGTTGCTCTCCGTCGCCCTGCGATGTGGGACCAAATCAGGCCTCATAACCTTTCTCTAGTGTCCCTCGCTGTCTCTCTCTCACTCTGTCTGGTATGTTGGTATATCGTGGCAGATCCATACAAAAAAGCCGTACATTTTGCCAAGGCTCGGCCTACTTCTTCTATATCTCGCTCGCTCGCTCGCTTTTCTGAAGAGCAGCAACAAAGTGAACTCAAACCTCGATCGTAAAGTGGCTGATCTGCGAGTAATACGAATGGACGGCTAGCTCCAGCAGCCAGACATCGCTGAAGACCTCGCCGCCGTCGAACCCGCCTATCATGATCAGCCGGCTATCGTACAGCACCGTGCCGTGGTAGCCGCGACCGCTGGGCGGGAGCCCGTAGACCTTGCGCTTGTCCCAGGTCATGGTGACCAGGTTGAGCAGCAGCACGTCGTTGGAGTAGTCGTTGCCGTCATGGCCGCCGACGACGAAGAGGTACGAGCCCACGATGGTCGACGTGTGCGACAGCCGCCGGAACGTGATCGGTATCGTGACCGCCTTCCACACCTGCGTATCCACGTCGTACACCCAGACGTCGTTGAAGCACTCGCCGCCGTCCGAGCCGCCGTAGATGATCAGCTTGCTGCCCACCATGTTCGCCGTGTGATAACCCCTCGCCTTGGGCTTGTTGTCCCGACCGGGGCTGCCCGACGAAGGGCCCGAAACCAGCTTCCAGCTCATCTTATTCGTGTCCGCGACATCGAGCCTCCACACATCATTCAACGCCCGGACGCCATCCCCGCCGCCAAACACGTAGATCCCGTTCTTGTATAGGCACGCCGTGTGCGCCCTGCGGGCGCTCGGGATCTTGTCGCCCACGACCCGGGGCCGGTGCCACCGGAAGTTGACCGTGTCGAGGACATAGATGTCGTTGTAGTAGGCGGGGCCGTCGCCGCCGCCAAAGACCACCAGCTTCTTGCCGACGGCGGTGCACGTCATGGCGCGCAGGGGCACCGGGATGTCGCCGACGACCTGCGGACTGCTCCAGTGGAACGAGTCGGCGTCGAGGACGTACAGCTCGTTGAAGCAGGCGCGCGAGTCGCAGCCCCCGAAGACGAAGACGTTGCTCCCCACCAGCGTCATGGTGTGCGCGCGCAGCGGCGTGTGTGAGGCGCCCGACACTGGCGCCAGCGACCAGTACATGCCGGAGGAGGGCGCCGCCGGCACGTCCGGGGCCGTCTTGGGATCCTGGAGCGGGGGGAAGGGTACGAAAGCTCCGCGCGGCTTTGGCGCGGCGCTGGTCTTGCGGGCGGCGGTTGGTGACGACGAGATGGATGTGGAGGATGGCTTCCCGGCTATCGCGGAGGTCGAACGCATCGGGGGTGGCCGCTTCCCTTCGGCGCCGTCTGTGGAGGAGCTCTGGCCGACCGTGTTCCGTGACCCGTCGCCATCGCCGTTGGATATCGGCTTGACCGAGGGTGGCGGCTGCGAGGGCGGATGGGTGGTGTATGCGCTCTTAGTTGCCACGGACTGCGAGCGCTGTCGTATCGAGGACTCGGAGGCTTTCCGCCTGCTGTGGCTCTGGCTCTTGGACGAGAGGTGGCCCGGTGTATGGCTGCGTATGGGGAGGGCGCGGTCGAGAGACTCGTCGTGCATGCGCTCGTCGGTTGGCGAGGGCAATTGGATCTTCTGGGACCGCACCGTCTTGGTCTTGGAGGACGAGGATGAACGGGAGTTATCAGCCATGGCTGTCGTCGTCGTCGTCGTCGTCGTCGTGGTTGTCGAATCGCGTGAGGGGCAGTGATTTCATTCTAGGTAGGACGTGCGCCCCCCTCGTGTTAGATCCGGTGTCGCCCTGGGGACCTGTATGCAGTCCGCTGCTCGAGATCAGATCAGATCAGATCTAAGTGGGGGAAAGGCGCGAATGTATCTCTCGGGCCAGGTCAGCCGTTCTGTTGACGCAGTGCGGTTGACGTAGAGAGACGGGGCGTGCTTCTTGCAGACTGCGGGTGTGCTTTGCCACGCCGCTGAGTACGGCGCCCAGGTACGGGTGGAACGACGCTCCGTGAGCCTGCAGGGGAGCAGAGCAGATGCAGCAGAGCACTCAGCGCGCGTTCCCAACGACCAGCGAGTCGGGATTGCAAGGGCGCAGCAGCATTGAAAGGGCAACGGATGGCCTGACGGATTCCGTTTCCTGCCCGCGTGCTTCTGGACTGGTGCGGGATGGGAGGGAGGGATGCGGATAGACCAACACACAACAAGTGTCCACGGGAAGCGAATCAACGGCCGTCCAGACCGTCGACCCCCCTCTAAAGCCGTCCTAGCGGGCCCCTTAGCTGGCGTCAGCCTTCGGGTGCATTGCCCTGACTGTAGAGCCGGAACCCCTGCATTAGGACCTGGGCGCACGCTGGAACTGGACGCTGGGGCTGGCTGAACTCCCGTCGCAGCCCCGGGCTGCCGGGTTGTATTGCAGCGTGGCATTGTCCAGCTTGAGTAACTACCTGAGCTACTTGGCCATCGGCACCAGTATAGGGCCTCTATTCGGTCGGCGTGTCCGGAGGGGAAGAATGGACTTTACCCACAGCCTTTGGCTGCGCTGTATCTTACCAACCACCCTCGTCCCGCGGTCCTCTGCTGGTAGGGCTGTATTTCAAACGGGTCACCCGTTCTGTGGAGTCGATTTGGATTCACTTTGTGCCTACACTAGGTACGCCAGCCAGCTGCTGCATTTGCATAGCTCAGGTATAGACCGAGCCGCAAAACATGATTTGTGCTTGCGCTATGCGCTGTGCGCGCCTGTATCTATGAAGTTTCCTATGTCGTGATGGAGCAGGTAAATGTGCGCAGGGGCATTACATTGACATGACCTACCTCGTCTATACTCTCGGCCTTTCTATACAACATCTACTGCCAGACCCCCGGTCGTTCCAACCCCCAGTCGGCGGGATCAGTTTGAGACTGTACAGGCATGTGCATACATTCCTGCATAAGCTGCCTAACTAGGCGGTCAAGTACCTGGGTACCTGCAGTTGCTTGCTAGTAAGCATGTAACGATCATAGGTCTATACGTTTGCTCGTTCCATCAACGTACTATTAGGTCTCTGCAGTATACTCTGTCGAAACCGCAGTTTGGAAAGTCACAAGAGAGGTGTGCATCCGTGCTACTTGTATGTACTAAACCCATGCACGACTATTCGGGTCGGGGCGATGAGTTAGCAGCTACTAAACTTGCCCCACCACCTTTTTTCTTGGTGCCAAAAATTTATTCAACTCCCATCAACTGGGTCGCCTGCCCAATTCCGCCCTCCGCTGACTGTGCAACTACTTCAGCACATCACCACACGAGCAAATCATGGCTGGAAACGACGGTCTCGGCGAGCCGGCTGCCAAGCGGGTGAAGGTGTCTGACGACGTACCGAACGGCCAGGCAGAGGGCAACGCCCCCCCTGCAGCCGCCGAACGTGTGCGCGGCATGGCCTCCATCAAGCCCGAGTAAGGCCGAATGCCTGCTTTCGGGTCTGACTGTTCCACTGATTTTGAAATAGATATCGCATCACCGTCTCTGGTATGAAAGCAGAGAAGGCAGCCGTTGACGATGACGCGGCTGAGGCGTCCATTGCCACAGACAACCCCGTCAATGGCAGGTCAGATTCTCGGGGTGATGCTCGAGATGCGCGGGATGCGCGGGATGCGCGAGGTGATCGTGGGAGGGATCGAAAGGGAAAGGGTCGCCAAAAGCAGAGTGGCCAGAACAAGGCCCGAGAGTACGGTTACTTCTCGGATTCTATCAAGCTCTGCAACAGCCGCGCCTTCACCAACGAATTTTCCCCCAGGGAATGCAGATACGGAGACAGATGCAACTTGTCGCACGATTTACGCAAGTACCTCGCCGAAGGTCGGCGAGAGGACTGCGAAACCTTTGCTGGCCGGTGCCCAGTCTTCGAGGCCCACGCAAAATGCCCTGCAGGCTGGAAATGCCGTTTTGTCAAGAGCCATTCCAAGGAGATCGAGCATGAGGATGGTCGTAAGGAACTCGTTTTGGAGGGCGCTTCGGACCCTGCGACCAGCATGGGCGAGGATGATGACCAGCGGCCTGGCATTGTCAACGTAGCCAATAACGACCAGAAATGGGGGCTGGCAAAGAAGAAGGTTCCGTTGGAGATGTCTGAAAAGTATATCGGATGGCTCAACAGGGAGACAGACCTCTCGCGGGCTTTTTCCAACAAGAAATCAAGCTATGCGGCCGATCCAGAGGCCGGCCAGGCTGCACGTGAGGAGCTGCGAGCACAATTTGTCGATCCGCCGTTCCAGCCGTCTGAGAAGCGCAAAATCTACTTTGGACGAGAGACGCCTGTTCTGGCCCCCCTCACCACACAGGGCAACCTACCGTTCCGCAGGTTGTGTGTCGAGCTTGGCGCCCAGGTTACGTACAGTGAGATGGCTCTTGCTATGCCCATGGTCCAGGGAAACAAGAGTGATTGGGCTTTGATGAAGGCACACGAGACTGAGATCACGCCGCCTCGATTCGCACCGTCCAACCCCGACAGCGTGGTGAAGGTTTATGACAACGCCAAGGACCTGAAGTTTGGTGCCCAAATCGCTGGCAACCAGCCATGGGTTGCCATCAAGGCTACCGAGGCCCTGACTCGCTTTCTTCCGCACCTACGTGTGGTGGATCTTAACTGTGGCTGCCCCATTGATATGGTCTTCAACTCAGGCGCCGGAAGCGCTCTGTTGGACGCGCATAGTAAGATGGAGCGCATGATCAGAGGCATGAACGTCGTATCTGGCGAGGTGCCCATCACCGCGAAGATTCGGATGGGAGTGAGGGACAACAAACCCAATGCTCTCAAGTTGGTTGAAAGGCTTGCTCTGGGCGACGAAGATCAACGGGATAGGCTCGGTGCGCCAGGGTGTGCCGCTGTCACTCTGCACGGACGAAGCCGGCAGCAGCGCTACACAAGAAGCGCCAACTGGTCGTACATCGCCGAATGTGCCACCCTGATTCAGTCATACAACCAGAAGAAGGATGACATCACCGACACGGCCAAGGAGCCGGATGCCAATACTCAGGCGAACGGCGGAAACATGTACTTCATCGGTAACGGTGACTGCTACTCACATGTAGACTACTTTGACCATGTCGACAACGCCAAGGTCGATTCGGTCATGATAGCACGGGGAGCCATGATCAAGCCGTGGATCTTCGAGGAGATTGAGAAGGGACAATACCTCGACAAGTCAGCCAGCGAACGACTTGGATATGTCGAGAAGTTCTGCCGCTATGGTCTGGAAAACTGGGGATCAGACGAGCTAGGAATTGGCTTCACAAGGAGGTTCCTGCTCGAGTGGCTCAGCTTCACCCACCGATACGTCCCCATTGGTATCTTGGAACACCTACCACCAAGTCTTCAAGATCGCCCGCCCGCCTATCGTGGGCGCAACGACCTGGAGACGCTTCTGGCAAGCGATAACTACATGGACTGGATCAAGATCAGCGAAATGTTCCTGGGTCCCGCGCACCCTGGCTTCAAGTTTCAGCCAAAGCACAAGTCAAACAGCTACGAAATAGAGGCAGAGGGATAGAGTGGTTAATGGCAATGAGAAGTGTATTCCCCCCTAGGCCGCTAGGGCTCGGGCACCAGGTTTGTTTTCATTGAAACCAATAGGCATGTGTTATACGCAACCTGGTCAATCAGTGAGACAGCTACATTCATTCCATTTATACTAAAGGAACTATACCCTATCTGAACCGAAGTAGGGATCTTGAGTAAAATATACAAGAGATATCCAAATATAAATGAGCATGTCTCAGTCTCGCAACCCTGGAGTGACAAGGAGCTAAGCGAATGTGCTTTTCGAAGCCACTGAGCTTGCCAGCAGTTCGTGCTTGCAAGCCGTACTTTCTGATTGGCAATCGTCACCGCAACAGTATGCAGGTGTGGGCACTATACCGCTTGCGGGCCGTGCTGACCATTACCCAGGCCTGAACATGAGTGAGGTCCAATGAGCTTCACAGGTTTGTATGCAAGTTCGGATTCACCATACCTTACGAGATAAGAGCCGCATCGGTGCAAATGAGGAGAAAATCCTCCGTTGCGCCCTCATATATTCAGCGGTTTGTGTTGGGTAATGCTGACCGCCAAAAGTTCAATGCTCATCCTCAATAAGCAGTAATTGTCATTATTCTTAGAAGGCGGCAAGCACGCACAACGGCAGTGCCAACATGGACGAGTGTTTGTTTGCGCAGCAGTTGAATTACCTTCGCTATATACCCGAGGCTACCAGTTACCTAGAAATTTTAAACTACTCTGTAGGTTTGTACGTTTTATGTAGTACACTCGCTGGTCACTTACATAGATATCCATCACTTCCAGGACGTAGAGCAGAACACGTACAAGGCCCCCGACGCCTCCAACGACTTCGATCAGTACCTTGATAGAAGAGTAAGCCAAGAGAGCCTTATCATCCCTAGAGCGCAGTCTGAGAACCTGGAAATAGGGAGTTTTCAGACCGCCAGAACTGCCTGAGGGCGTATTGCTTACAAGTGGTCTCCGTTTGGTGTAATGTCAACCCAGGCCTGATGCCCGCCCGGCTCTAACCACCCCAATCAGACTGCATAAGCTAGCAACAGACTCGAATACCCTTGCACCGAATGCAATATCGCTCTCTCGGGAGGACTTTGAGAAGATGGTCCGAAAGCTGAGGTTGCCACTTCGATATATCGAAACATCTACAGTCGTTGGTCCGTTCTTCTGGTGGACCTACGATGACGACGATGTGGATGATACAGTTCTCCGTAGGTGCACTCTAGTCAATTGCATTTATATCGAACTGACGCCACAGAAATTGTTTTTCGAAAGTCCGATGTGTCACAAAATGGCAATACGAGGGGGTGGGAGATGGTGCTCTCCTACTCCTTCCGTTCCAAAATCACCTCGGGATACGTCAAGGGGGCTGAAAATGCTGAGATTGAGGATATCATTAACCAGTTATGGGCTTCCAGAGCACAGATATCGCATCCACTCCTACTGCCTCTTATGTTCATCAGCCGCGAGCTGGCATCCAAAAACGACATGACACAAAGGACAGCCCGGGAGCAGCTTCGTAGGCTCGAAAATGTCCTGGTCGGCCGTTACAAGATGAATCCAGCCCAGGGGCATGAGATTCCCGATTATATAACGATGGCCCATATCAAGAAGACGTTGTTCAAGTGTCTGGGCGAAGTCCTGTGGAAGCGGCCACAAGCATGGCAGAACGTCGTTCAGAGGATGCGGAAGGCTAGTGAGTGCTTTTGGGACAATCTTCCCGATGCTGCTGAGCCTGCCGAGATGAAGAAGCTCCAGCGAATGGTTCGGAGTCGATTCGACTTCCTCGAGGCCAAGCTAGAGGGCCTCGAGCACTACGCTCATGTGTCATGGGCGCGGCTTGAGATACAGCGTGGCGAGGTATGCTTATCTCCTGATATTGGATAGTTCGTACGTTAATGCCAGATCAGATGCACAACATCATCGCTCAAGTTGAGTCGCGCATCAACGCCGACATTGCTCGACAGTCTCACTTGTTGGCCAATGCTAGTAAGCGCGAGAGCACATCCATGAAGACGCTAGCCATACTAGGATCTGTTTTCTTGCCTCCCACATTCCTGTCGTCCATGTTTAGCATGCCGTTCTTCAAATTCGATGATGGTAGGTGATGCTGTGTGCTCCTCTGGCCCTCCATCGAGCAAAGGTCTAACTCAGGTCCAGATATGAGTGGCTCGGTGTCCCGGAGTTTGTGGATTTATTTCGTCGTTGCAGTCCCGCTGACCTTCATTATTGTCGGACTTTGGTGGATCAAGGACAGACGTACCCAGCCTGAGATCAAGGAGGACCGTGATGCAGAAGAGCAACGATTGGACGACATCGAGGCTCGTGTAATTGACAGGCTGAGGAGAACTACCAATACCAGAGTTGGCACAGGCTTAACTGGTCATAGGGCTACTTAGCATTTTGGCAGCTCCAGGGTCCTTGGTTCCCAGATGCTGTTTAGTGTATGCAATCGCGATATGTGCAGATACTATTTGGGGATCTGGAGGCTACTGCTTATTGTTCAAGCCGGCGCCTTGAATTTAAATAGCGTGATACTGAAAGGTTCTTGTCTTGCCTTACTCCAACAATAATCCTTAGTGAAGTGAGAAATTCAGTTTACAAGATCAAAAATTTCTATCTGTCTTCTATATTTGAGGGCCTATGCATTCGCTTCTATGCACCATAATGGATTACTGATCACCGAATTTACAAGATAGCGACCGCGTTCCCAGGCGATGCCACTCCTTCTGGTATCTATGCATGGTCAGTATTCAAGCAGATTGGAACAAAAGGTATAAACAGACCCTCAACGGCAACGAACATACGAAAAACGTCCATCTGCCCCTCTGCCGGCATGCCTCCGCTAGGGCTTCTAGGTCGAACATCTCTCCAAGGGGTAAGCCCCAGCCCGCGAGACACCACTGGTGGATGCTCACGTCAGGGTCATTATACGGCCCCGTTGCCGGGCCCCTCTCGAAGCTGGGCGAGTCCGACGCGATGGCCGCGAATTCGTTCTCCCACAGCCACCGGAGCGAGTCCCGCGTTGCCTCAAGCCCGAGCAAGCCGCCGGGCTGTCTGTTGGGAAAGGCGGCCTGCTCAGCTGCCGACAGCTCGTTATAGCGCGCAGTGAAGCCGACGCGGATGAACAATATGTCCCCAGACTTGAATGAAACACCGTTTTCCTCAGCCACCGACTTCAAGTGATCGACTTCAACGGCGCCTGTTGTAAAAGGCGATCGGTTGATGTCGTTCTTCTGCGCCCACGAGTACCAGTCAAGGAGCACGCCACGCCCTATGATTCCCGCCTTTTTCTGTGCCCAAGCTACAAGTGTAGTGTTGTCAGTGAGGAGGATACCTGGCCGTTTTAGAGAAGACGGTGCTCACCGTCGATGCCAAGCCTGGTGGATCCTGCTTTAAAGTCCTCTTGTTTGTGGCCCATGAAGAACTGTTTCGTACTCTGATAACCTGGCATCCTCACTGTGTAAGCGATGTATCAAGCCTCAAGAAACAGCAGCATCAACCCACCATAATGCCGAAACCCGTCCCACTGGGTGCTGCTCTGGGTATTTATGTTGATAGCGTCATCATTCATAGCCATCGGGGCCTTATTCAATACCTTGTGCTCGAATCTCTGACGCTGAAACGTGGGAAATGCAGGCTTGTCCAAAGGCCAGTCCAGACGAATTCTCAGGCCTTCTTTGATTTCTTGGGCAGCGGCCGCGGTCGTCTCTGGTGTGAGTAGGTTAAGCATACCCAGCTCGTCATCGGGGCCCCATAAACCCCAGGCGTTCCCGGGAGGGCCTTGCTTATCGAGGGGCAGCTCTTCGAAGGGCGGTAACCTCTTCAACGCCATTTCAACAGTCCCAAAATATTTAAATGGCCTGGTTTGCCGTCCTGTTGTTGTAATATGACACCCTCTTTGTTGACCAGTTTTGAGTATATGAGACACGAGCCTCCATTCAAATCTTGTGAAGGGAACAGTAGACCCGTCGGATGCAGTAGCCGAATACCCTAGGTCTGGAATGTCTGTCTCTAGTTAGGCAGTGTATGTAACCCTATTGGCGTAAGTTATAAACGGGCATCCCAGGAAATGTGCTCTCGTGATTGATGACAACGGTTAAAAGGTGATCAAGCGAGGATAATCACTTAGCCGGACCATGGGGAAGGTGGAGAAAACTACACCCAATACTGCTATAGCTCCCCGCAGATTAGGGCCCTCCCCATCCGGGGACCCCAAAGTGACAAGCATAGGCTTGTACAGCCATGTGTTGAAGTAGGGATTCTGGGGATCATCGTTTTCCTTGTGATCCAAGCGCTTGACTGTCGGAACGAGGGCCGATCGCAACGGCATCTCATTCCCGTTAGTATACTTAGCACTGGAGCATACATAGAGTCCGATCTTTCGTCCCTATTACCCTCCTGAGGTCATGATATGTTCAAACGTCTTGAAATTATCATGCATAGCATCTTCAAACTAAAGGAACACCCTGGCCAGGAAGCCCCTCAGGAGATTTACGGCTACCGGCCGTATCTTCTCGCTTTCTCGGCGTCTTGGGTACGCTCTCTTGCCTAATAAACACGAGCTGTGTTTACTGACTTTTACAAGGCCTCTGCAATGTATGGATATGACTCCGCATTCATCGGTGGCACTTTGAGCCTACCATCATTCCAAGCCACCTTCGGGCTTGCCGAAGCAACCAACAAGCAGAAGGCCGACCTATCTTCAAATATCGTCTCGACCTTCCAAGCAGGGGCATTCTTCGGTTGCGCCTTGGGTTTCTTCCTCGCCGAAAAGTTCGGGCGGAAGAAGTCCATGATCGCATCCGCCTTTATATTTATACTAGGTGCAATCTTGCAAATGGTTGGCCGCCTGGATCTATTGTACGCAGGCCGTGTTTTCACAGGCTGGGGAGTTGGTGCCTCAGCCATGGTCCTCCCCATCTACGTCTCAGAATGCTCGCCAGCACTCATTCGCGGACGGCTTGTGGGCGTGTTCGAGATCATGCTCCAGGTCGCCCTGGTCTTTGGCTTTTGGGTTAATTACGGCGTGAACCAGAACGTCCCAGGTTCGGACCCGAAGCAATGGCATATCCCAGTCGCGATACAGTTCGTTCCCGCTGGAGCCCTCATTATGTCTCTCCTACCTATGATCGAAAGCCCCCGCTGGCTAGCTTCCAAGGGCAAGATGCAGCAAGCTGCCAATGCTCTCTCGTGGGTCCGCAATCTGCCCGAGGACCACCCGTACCTGTTGCAAGAGCTGGCGCAGATAGAGAACGCTGTGGACCATGAGCTGGGTTCCACGGGCGGGAGTCGCAGCTGGGCGCAGATATATAGAGAAATGCTACAAAAGGGGATTCGGAACCGCATCGTGATCGCCTGCGGCCTAGTCGTTTTTCAGAATTTTACTGGAATTAACGCAGTCAACTACTACTCGCCCACGATATTCAAGTCTATCGGTGTCACAGGGACATCAGCCGGGCTTCTAGGCACAGGCGTCTTCGGCATAGTGAAAATGGTGGCTACCGTCTTGTACGCAGGCTTCCTCGTGGACAAGTGCGGCCGACGACCACTGTTGCTTGTCGGAGGTGCATTTGCCGGATTTGCAATGTTCTACCTCGCGGTCTACTCCAAGGTCAGCGGTTCGTTTGTGGCCACTCCTCCGCAGGATGCCGGGGCTAGGTGTGCCATCGCCATGGTATACCTTTACGCCTTCTTCTACGGGTTCTCTTGGAATGGCATACCGTGGCTGTTCACCTCGGAGGTTCTTCCTACACGAGTGCGGACCCTTGGCATGACGTTCTGCATTTGTATCCAGTGGCTTACTCAGTTCATCGTCGTATATTCTCTTCCCCACATGGTCATCGGCATGACATATGGTACGTTCCTCTTCTTTGGATGCTGTACGGTTCTGGCTGTGTTGTTTGCGTGGTTGTTCGTCCCCGAAACAAAGGCGGTTGAGCTAGAAGCAATGGACCTTCTGTTTGGCCCAGACGTCTCGATCCTCGCCTGGGAAGCCAGGGAGAGTTACGAAAAGACTGTTCGTGCAAGAGCAAGTGTACTGGGCGAGAAACAAGACGTGGATCATCATGAGACAGTGTAAGTCGAATTCAAGATGGTTCAAGGTGGAGGGCGTACTATAAACCATCCCTGGGAAAATAACATACCGTGTAATCAAGCAATTACATTACCACTGATCGATGACTTCTCGTCTCGTGGCATATAACACGAAGCCGGCCTGTATTTCGCTCCATGAGACGCCTGTGTGCTTGCCATCATGATGCAAGCAACCTGGAAGTGTTATTTGAGACTCGCATTAGCGCGACCCACGCTGTCGCATACCCCGCCAACTGCTGGGACCGCCGTACCTGTAGCTCCTTACTGTAGCTCACTCAGACTCGGGGAGCAACTCATGAGGGGCAGCCCGACTCGGCCGTTTATGATACCCAGCCGAACGTCCACATCATACGAGCCGTCTTCAGCTTGGTTTGTTCTCGGGCGTTCAACACAAAAACACAGAAACCGCAGGAATACTTTTACACCCACACACAGAGCTGAAAGATGGCCTTGAAAGGGACCCGGGAGGCCAGCCATGCCGATAGCTGGTACGTGGGTGACCCGGGCCAGCTGAACAAGGAGCTCGATGGTTATCTGGCCACCGTTCCCAGCTCGATCAACGAGAGCAGCCTTCCCATCCCGGGCGCAAAGGTCGTCATCGCGCCGTAAGCATTGCCCTCCCCATGTCTGGATGTGCCTGTTCCCAACTGATGTCCTCAAAGGCATGCAGGGTATTCCTACTCTGGTGAGTGTGCCGCTTGGGCGTACAAGTGCCTCGATTTGCGCAAGGCGAAGCGCGTCTTCGTCCTCGGCCCCTCGCACACCTATTATCTCCGTGGCTGCGCTCTCACCAAATTTGCAAAGTACGAAACACCATTTGGCGACCTCACAGTCGACAGTGCGGTGATCCAGGAGCTGCGGGATAGCGGCAAGTTCGCAGACATTCCCTCCGATAAGGATGTACGGGAACACTCGTTGGAGATGCATCTACCCTATGTCTACAAACGCCTGGAACAGACGTTCACCTCCATGGCCGACTTTCCCACTATTGTACCCATCCTGATTGGAGACAATAATGGCCCTCAAGAGAAGGAGTTCGGCAAGCTCTTGGCGCCTTACCTGGCTGACCCCGAGACCGCCTTTGTGGTGAGCTCGGACTTCTGCCACTGGGGATATCGCTTCGACTATAGACCATTCACCAAGGGATCACCTATCCATGAGCACATCAAGGACATTGATCACCAAGCCATGGATGCGATCGAGGGAGGCAAGCACGACGACTTTGTTGCAAATCTAGCCCGCACAAAGAACACTGTGTGCGGACGCCACCCCATAGGTGTCACCATGGCTGCACTGGAGGTCCTAGCGAAGGATAACTCAGAGGAAGCGAAGAACCGCTTCAAGTTTGTGCAGTACCAACGCAGCGATCTGGTTCAAGATATGGGTGGCTCAAGTGTGAGCTATGCCGCAGCCTATGCCATTGTCTGATGAGGTCGGTGCGAGTTGTGTGGTGAACCTCATGCCCTACGCCTCTATAGATGATGAAAAGATGATTGTTCACCAACAAGATATATATGACTCCGTGAACTTATAGAAGTGGGAAGTTGACAACCGTGGTTGGGACTTATACCGTAAGTCAACTGTCTGAGGGCCAACCCAATCCTCGGAAGGTTCAAATGTTAGTGGGGTAGGTCGGATCCGCCCCCTGGGCATACTAACGGAACGACCGGCGCTGGTCAACCTCACCCGGTCTCTCTGTCACGCCTCTAGCCCGAGTTGCACAACAGATCAAACAAATGAGCCCGGAGGAGACAGAAAGGTCTCACGACGAGCAATCCCCCCTTCTCCCATCCGCCGCTGGCCCGTCACCCAAGCCAGCGCCCGCCGACTCCTCACCAACTCCGTCACAACTCAGGACCATGGCCATCCTCTCGACCCTTGCCGCCATCTACGGCGGCACCGCCGTGGCACTTGGTGCTTTCGGCGCCCACGGACTCAAGAAGCGCATCGCAGACCCCCAGCGCATCCAAAACTGGGGCACTGCCGCTCAGGTATGCAAGCTGCTCATTGACTCCGTCATCTCCTATTCGTGGCAGCCGCCCCCAGGCCCGCTACCCATTGTCCGCCTCTCCTTGCACGAGGAACATGTCGCTGACTGGCGGCATTCTAGTACCAACTCGTCCACTCCGTCGCCACGCTAGTCGTTGCGTCGCTGGCACCTCAGGCGCGGGCTCACAAATGGGCGGGCGGACTGTTCATCGCGGGCATGACCATGTTCAGCGGGAGCATCTACCTCCTGACCATTGACCCCCAGAGATTCAAGGCCATGGGCCCTGTGACGCCCCTTGGTGGACTGTGCTTCATTGCCGGCTGGACGGCGCTGGCTATCGGCAGCAGAGGCCGGGTGGGACTGGGCACGCTGAGTGGTCGTTAAGTCGGCCAACGAAGAGGCGCGAATTGCCGGTATTGAAATGGCTTTAAGTGCTCCTGATGCCGGTGTATGTGTATTGTATTTTAAGTCTCTAGGAGACGTAAAAACTCAACTCTGCCCACAGGGCGCCAGCGTGTTGGAAGAAGGATCCGGTGATCACTGGCACTAGCTTCAATGGCATTTGTCAAGAGTGACCGATCGTTCACTTTATGTCAAGGGCTCCCAACTTGTGACGTCCCTTGCAAGATGAAATAAGTTTTTGAATGTCTGAGATGTGATGTCGCACATACTATCTTGGGTATCGTGTAATGTACATTCTAGTCTTCCTTTCTAGTCTACACCCACGCTACATATTTGTACACGATCTATCCACACGTCTTACAAATCATCGACGGCATCCTCGCAGCGCCCGCACAGCACGTCTTCAGCAGGTGCGACGTAGCGCCAGCAGCGAGGACACTTGGCTTCCTTCGGCGGTAGGATCGTAATAGTGCCGAGCTCGAAGTCCAGAGTGTACGACCACTCGGGAGACGTGGGCAACGGCGCATTGAGCTCTATGGATGAGACGACAAACATAGCGTCTAGTTCATGAGCATGCCTCGTAAGGACCTCGGTAAGAGCGGTGTGGGAGGTCGTCACAATCACGGAGCTCTGCAGCGAAGATCCAAGCGCCTTGTCGTTTCGTGCCTTTTCTAAGCCCGACTTGATGGCGCCATGAACATCCATCAGCCATGGAATATCACGGCGAAGGACGTCAAGGTCCATGGTAATACGGCTAGGATCGATGGTGGGATCGCTGTATAGTTGACGAAGTGGATGGATGATGGAGCTATATTACGACAATTAGCTTTCAAGGGAGACACGGTAAGATCATGGTAGTGGGTAACTTACGCATCCTCTTTCATCCACTCGGGCCGATGATCCCAAGCTTCCTCTACGAGCGATGGAGTCATTGGCGCAAGCATTCTCATGAACCCATCAAAGATAGGTTCCAAGACGCCGCCACCATCACCACAGTACAGCCGATCCTTGGAAGCCTCCACATAGAAAGCTGAAAGGTCGTTTGTAATCCACCGGTTCAAGGCATTGAAGCCCTTGTAGAACTCGTGATTGTCGAATGCTTTCCCAACTTCCTCCATAGTGTTTTGCAGTTGAATAAGAGCAATGTGATCAGTGGTAGTCAAGGGAGCCGTACGAGCTGATTGGTGCATGGAACCCAGTAACATCTTCGCAATGGTACGATATTTGATCAATGCCGTGTGGATGGCTTGCAGAACCGTGACACCGATGGCAACATCCCTCGTATAATCGCTACTAGCAACCCACAGCCGCAGAGCGTCCGGACCTAAAGCATCGAAAGATGGTGGTCCCTTGGCGGCTTTGCCCTTGCGCTTCATGGGAGGTAACAAAGACCCATCCATGACTTGATGTGGCTCCATGATGTTGCCCAGTGATTTTGACATCTTCTTGCCCTCCTGGTCCAGAGTGAAACCATGTGTAATCAGTTGTTTGAACGGAGCTCCCTTCATGCAGTCTTCGACTCCAGCCGCGATCCGAGTCAACAAGCTAGATTGAAACCAGCCTCTGTGTTGGTCAGAGCCCTCGAGGTAGACGTCTGCTTGGCCAGACATCATGCTCCAGCTGCTGCCACTGTCAAACCAGACATCCATAGTATCGGTGCCACGACGGTATTCGCCCTCAAGTCCAGCAGGAATCCAGGCGGCATCGTCCGGAGCATCTGACCACCACGCACTGGTGCCTCTCTCCCGCATGACGGAAAGTATATGCTCGACTGTCTCTTCCGTGACAATCGCGGCACCATTCTTATCGTACAAGGCAGGGATAGGAACGCCCCAAGCACGTTGCCTCGAGATGCACCATTCACTTCTCCCTTTGACGAAGCTTTCCAGGCGCTTCTTGCCTGATTCTGGAGTGAAGCGCACTGCTTCCAGAGCCGTGAGAGCATCATCTCTTATATGGGATACATCTGCGAACCACTGCTCGGTCGCCCTGATGACGACGGGTTTTTTGGTCCGCCAATCATAGGGATATTTGTGTTTGTACTCCTCAACATGCAGTATATCCTCGCCAAGCAGGTCGACGATAGATTGACCACCACCTTCAATGATGGATGGCGCTGACATGAGAACTGAGCTACCAGGAAGTGCTTCCGCAGTAAATTTGCCTTCATCGTCGATAGGTGCGGTAACAGGCAGTTCCAATAACCGACACACTTCGTAATCGTCGAAGCCGTGTCCCGGTGCTAGATGTACCATACCGGAACCCGAGTCCGCAGAGACAAAGTCCGCATGAATGATAGGCTGCAGCGGCGCTACGTCGCCCTTCAAAACGTGGCGGTACTCGAGGCCCTCTATGGTGCTGCCAGAAATGCCACTACATGCTACTGAAAGTTTGCGATCCGACAATAGACCCTGAACCATCTCGACGCGACTATCTGCAACAATGTAACCATCAGAGCCGTTTGTAAGAATAGAGTATGTCATATCGTCGTGCACTGCAATGGCCTGGTTTGCTGGCAGGGTCCAGGGTGTGGTTGTCCAAATAAGGGCGTAAAGCTTGCCAGAGAGGTGCTCCTTTGCCTCTCGAAGCCCCTCAACACCCTGCCATGTCTCGTTAATGGGAAACCTGACCCAGGCTGCTTTAGAGATATGGTCATCCTTGTATTCCAGTTCGGCCTCAGCCAAGGCCGTTTTCGACGATGGAGACCAGTACACGGGTTTATATCTCCGGTAGATCAAACCCTTCTTCGCCATCTTTTGGAAAAGACGCAGCTGTCTCAGCTCAAAAGCAGCGTCCATAGTCGTCCACCTCCGTTCCCAATCGCCCATGACGCCGTAGGACCTGAAGCTCTTCATCTGCTTGAGCACCGTGTTCGAAGCTAGATTGCGGGCCGACTTGCGGATCTCGATGGGCGTAAGCCTCTTATAATCTGCGGAGCTGCTCTCCAGGGCTTTGAGCTCGATGGGCAGGCCGTGGCAGTCCCATCCCGGCACGTAATCGACGCGGCGGCCCTGCTGGACTTTGACGCGCAGGATCATGTCCTTGAGGACCTTGTTCAAGGCATGGCCAACGTGCAGGCTGCCATTGGCGTATGGCGGGCCATCATGCAGCACGAAAGTGTCATCGGATGGCCTGTTGGCTTTCTGCCATTCGTATAACTCGTCGGCGGATCGTTTTATGTACTGGTCCCGAAGCTGGGGTAGCGGTCTCGGCCTAGGGGCTATAGTTCAGCATGATTCCTGCAGCGCGAGTCTGGGGGTTTCAAGGCAATCGTACGGGAATGTGGACTTGGGTAGCCTCAAGGTTGCCGTCCAGGATTTTGACATGGTAGCTGCCGGACCATGGCGGGATGTGTGTCGTTCTTTTATATCGAGCCGTGCTACGCGTTGGCACAGCTCTGCGATTTCGCGACCAGCTCCCGAGTTTTTGGTACGGCATGGGGCGCGAGGCTGTTCGGATCTGCGCTAATGCTTAGTGGTCTCCAGGGCTACACGCCACTAATGCAAGGCTGACAATCCCGCCCGTTCCTATCGTCATCACGCCCTCAGCGGAAGAGCTCAAGGCAACCAGCGCACTTCACGAAAAAAACAACCAAACACATGTGCTGCCAGTGCACGTCTCGCTATCCTGAGGCCGTACTTACTACCGCGAACATTCGACCGAAGAGGATAGTCAGAATCTTGACAAGCCTTGCTCTATGGCGCCGATCCGGCGTTATCTCCGCATAACCAAGTACTCGGTTCTTGAATGTCGTATCTATCTGGATAACCCGGCGCTGGCACAGAGCTGGCTGCTCAATCCGCGGCACAACACGCTCTCCAGGGTCATAGAAGCAGTCCGGCCACTGGTGCTTCCCAAGCTGCGCGAGGAGAGAGAGCGAGCCCGGAAGCGGAGCACTAAGAAGAAAGGCATCAAGGATGTCGTGGTCGAAGGTATGAACTCGGAAGCTCCATGTACCAACTTGCATGCTTTGTACCCAGCAACTTCCATGCTCTCACTCAATGTATTTCCCATCTCATATTTGGAGGTTCGGTGTAACTTATTGGATGCAACCTGGGGTCGCACGCATGCGAGCGTAGTGGCAGAGCCTGCTAATGTTTCCTACCTGTGGCGATCCGCCGAGGCTTACCGTTCTCAAAGCATATGCAGCAGGCATTGATAGTGTGCATTTACAGATGACTTCGAAGTATCCATATTCCTCACCGAAACCAGCACGCGCCACTCGCTCCTAACGAAACACAAGAATTTTCACGATACGACACAGACCAAACTAACATCTAATTCGGGTCGCCTGGTCGGCGCTTCGAACGAAGCGCCTATCGACCTTGACCTCGACGCGGCTACAGCCCCCATCACGCTGCGCGACGAGGACAGTGACGAGGACGTGGGGGCCGCTCTGGCTGCAATACCCGCGGCCCCGGCGCCAAACAGCCGGCCCAAGCGACCCAGGAGGAACACCGGGCAGACGGATGAGGGGGCCGAAGACGACCATGAAGTGATCTCGTCTGAGGACGATGCAGATGACACCTTGTTTGTGCCGCCAGACACACCGGACCAGCCCCCGCATAAGCGCCGCAAGGAAGCTGCAGACGATGGGGGCGGCGACGACAAGAAGAAGCTTGCCATGGACATCTCATACGAGGGTTTCTCTATCTACGGGCGCGTGCTATGTTTGGTCGTTAAGCGCCGACAGGGCCCCAATGCCGCGGGCAGCGGCAGGGTTGCATTGGGGGCCGCCGGCGGGAACAGCAAGGCTAAAGAGAGCGGGCCACCGGGAGGCGGCCAGGCAATGATGGAGAACTTTATCATCTCGACTCAAGTTCCGGCAGGAGAGGAAGGTCCTTGACGGCTGGCTGTTACGGTGATACGACGACAATAAAGCTGCAGCATGAGCTGAAGGACCACCCTTGTAATTATTGGCTAGCTATCAATCCGTGGCTTGCGGCAGCGGCTTGACGCTGTCTCCCCTAAGATCAATCAATGAGGATCGCCTGCTGTGGCGCTGTGGGGTATACTATGTCTGATAGTGTCAGAGTTGCCAAGATGCTCCCAAACCTTGGAAGTGTGGGGAGAGGATGGTTAACATGCTGACCATCGTGTCACACCTTGGGCATAGGATTACGGCTGCGGCGCAGGTTTAGCCCTGAGGGCTTGCAGATGGCCGTCGATCTGGTTTCAGAGCAGGGGAGGGTCCCCGGGACCGACACAGCTGTAGGCTTCGAATCGCATTCTTGCCCATCTTGAGCCCAAATTGGGATATACTGTACTATTACTGTACGATCAAGTTCGTCGTCGAGGTGATAACAAATCGCGATGCATACTAATCCAGGGGGAAATCAGGGGCTAATTGGCCGCGCTACCGCACAATAGTTGGTCCTTCGCGTGCGAACTTACAAGTCGATGATGTCAGGAACCGACGGGTAAGTCGGCATTACTGAGTACGGATGCGATTCCTTAGCTAGTCTCGCCTATTGCTTGACCTTGAACAGGTGGTATGGTATGACTTCTCCCTTATCTCGAATGTCTTGGTTAGTGTCCGAGCGGACCGAAGTATAGGGTTGCATAAGTGATGTTTGGCCCTTTGGGCCCAGCGATCAGAGGGATCGTAGCCAGGGTTCTGTCCTGCTGTAGGCCAGGTTGGACACGTCGTACGATTGATTGGACCTTGGGGGGGTGCTCTGCAGCGTCAAGTGAAACACGTCCACTCACTGCTCAGCCCGATGATATTGCGGCCAGCCATGGATGAACCACCGCGGTCCTCCGCGCTGAGCCGAAGGTAACGCAAGGCCTTGTCAGCACGCGTGGCCAGGTACGCCAGGAACCTGGTAATGTGTTGGTGTGTTGATGATGGTCAGCTGAGCAACTGACCAGGGGACAGGATCACGCCAGCACTATCGACTTTGCATGGCAAGCATGGGGAATGCGATGTCTTGTCGACAAGCCCATGCTACCCATCCATGGCGGGGTACAGGTACAAAGCCCATCCACTGCAGCCTGCTTGAAGTGCTTCTTCTGGACGGTGTGTGGCCGCAGATTGGCTAGCCCCCCTAGCAACAGCTGATGGTGTTGTGAGTGGTCGTGCGTTTCAACGCTTGCTCGGGAGTCCATGCGCACTGCTCGTCACCGCCAGCTCCGGCAAGGCTTGGCGAACCCAGAAACTCGGGTGGCCTCCTTCGACAGAGCGCCAGCGCACGATCATGATCTACTGGCGTAATGGCTTTGCATAGTACTGCACTTGCTCCGCCTGGCTTGTTGGTGATGCGTAATCAATGCCAAGAGGTGGGACAAAATACCTTGCACTTGACTCCCAAAACGTGGTGTTTACTAGCGGGCTTGACAGCCTTGAGGAGGTGCATATGGTCTTGACGACACCAGGACGCCTGCAGGATTCGACGCCCTACCTTACCTACACTACTTACTGTGTATATACTTGGTTGATAATGTCTCACTTTGACATGCAATGCAGACACGCAGCATACCATTTTCCTGTGGAATCTAGGGATCGCTTGTGCCTGTTTGTGAAACTGGCTGCACAAGCGAGTAAATACTGGAGGCAGATATAGGTGCGAGACTCCAGCTCGGCCACCGAAATCGCCATGTGGACAATACGTGATGGTGTGAGGGATGATTGGTTGATTGGCTGAGCACTCACACATGGCAGTATTTCATCTGCGATCTGACACCTGCAGTATTGAGTCAACAGAATGCACTACATAGTAGGGCATTGCGGACTCCTTGCGACAATGCCGTATGTTGATCCATGATCCGCTAAAAGTCGGCCGAGAAGCAAACATGGTAGTTAGTCACTGAGTTGGTGTTGGAATGGGCCTGTATACATTTGAGCGATACGCCCGTGGAATCTGGTTGATGCAACTCGTAGATCCCCCACAGGCTGCCTCACAAAGTGCGGTATAGCGGGGGCCTGATGCTTCCGGCTCTTAGCCTGATCTCGATGTTGAAAGTGCCATCCCGCCCAGCTGGACAAGTCATGATCGGGCTGCGGCCGCGTGTCAATCCAGTTAACGCAGCCGAGCACTCGCTATTCGAAGTGATATTGTAGTAAACTCGGGACTGACGACAAAGACGACGAATCAGGGGTATGGCGCTGCCCCTGGTTTCCCACGTGGAAATGACCGAGTAGTGATAGCTTGGTGATCCGTTCTCGGCATGGCGCACCCACTACAGACTGGCTTACCACACCCAGAGTCAGCGCTGCCCCCTTTCATTGGTCAGTTGGCGAGGTACGGTCTGGCCTGTTCAGCTAATGAGCACACCCTCTTTCAGACCGTCTGGAACCGAAGCCTCCGAGGTATTCGTCGCCGTTTGGGGCTGGCTATGCCCGGAGACCTCAGCTGGATAGCAAGCTTTTCTTTAGATTAGAAAGGTTTAAAACGAAGGGAGCTGAATCCGGTCCAGTCCGTTGCGGATGGTCTGGATGCTCGGCAGTTGATCACTGCTGGCGTCAAGTTCGAGGCAGCACATCGCCACAGCCTGATCCATCGTCCCACGGACATAGTGGCCGTCGGCCTTTGAGCAGTCGGGCTATAACCGGGCGATGAGGCAAGACAGCAACCGGCATTTGCCAAGGTTGCATCGTGGTTATCAGAATTCCAGTAGTTTGGACACTGCCTCCGAGGCTGCAGACGCGTGTCTTATCAGTACTTCACTAATCATGCAGTCAGCTACATGGATGGGAATCCTCGCGATAGGGCCACAAGGCTGCATTCATGCTGCCTGTCTCCCAGAGTCCCGAAGCAGGGGCTCTGTTCACCCCGTATTTCCTGTTGGGCCGGCCTGATGAGTCTATTGTGTAATGCTAGAGACGAGAAGTCTTGCTCTCCAGGATGAAGGTAAGCACTTAAATCTGAGTCGCCAAAGTATTGCGCCAAATGCGAGGCATCATTTCCAAGACCAACAACGCATAGATAGGCAGGGTGTTGAGGAGGCTGGCGAACCATGGTACCGTACATAGTAGTTTGCAGTGATTTGCTATTGACATGGTGGGCAAGCTCTATACCACCTGTCAGACATCACGAGATGAGCAGGCTCGGAGACTACTGCCCACGTCGCGCGACCGATGCTCATACAGGCGGCTCATGATTGGTGCCTTCTGTAGCTGTCGTTTGATAGCCGTGGAAAAAAGACTATTGCGAGCCCTTGGCTGGCTGCCTGGGTACGACTCCCAGGCGACCTCGTGACAAGTCGGCAAACACTTGAACGGGGCTAGTGTTGATATTGAGTGTTGAGATGAGATGAGACCCTGCAGGGAGCCATTGCCCGAATTCACCCATGTTTTGGGCGGACTTTTCGCAAACGGCAATTCCAGGTACGGGGTTTAGCGCAGCTTGACCCAGCGCAGCGGTCAAGAGTTAGCTGCAAATGCCCGGCGCAGCCCTAAGCACGCGTTCGCACGTATGTACGAAGTACTTGTCCTAGATCAGATGCCAATCCCAAAGCTTGGAACTAACACGGGCTCCGCTTTGACTCTTGTCCTCATTACCTGTTTCGGGAGACACTGTTTTGCGCGATGCCTTGATCGGCTCGTATATCTGATAACCCCGTATATCTGACACGATGTCACGGTCTGCCACAGACCCCGTGCGCCGATTCAACAGTTGGCGCTGCTCAAGCGACGTTGCGGATCTGAGAAGCACTGACATGACGATGATGGCATCGGTTCCCCAGCAGCACGGTCAAATGAAACAGGGGGAGCAGGAGTCTCTGGGGGGACGTGCAGATTGGTACACATCGCCTCTTCCGAACAGGCGTGCCCCTGGCCACCGCCAAACAATCGTCCATGTTTCGTCCCCAGAGCTCCACACGGTAGAAAACTTCTAGAAGAAAATCAAATTTCCGAATCGGTACGTGCACCACCGCCTCGCCCCTGGCTGGAGCCCATCCGACCCTGGTACCAGACTCGGTCGCGTCGGCACATGAGAGGGCAGACATGACAAATTTCGTCACTATCAAGGATTGGCTTGCAAATCCATCAACGTTTTTTTGTCCATTCTGTAGAAATTTTCCACCGTCGTTGGCGAAGGAAGTAGTTGATTGGCTGTCCCACTCGGAAATCTGCCAGAACCTTTCTCCCGGATTCAGGGTCCAGGTCTATCTATTCCCCAAAGCGCACTGGGCGCAACCATCATTATTTGCGCTGATCATGGCTCTTCTCGCGTTTCCACTTCAGCAGCCGACCCTCCGACAGATAGTAATCATTAATCATATCCTATATCCTTGTCCTGAATAGATAAGTAGCTGACCGCTTCATCTTGTGCAACAGTGCGTGCATTTGAATAACTCCTGATAGACAAGGCTACGTATGATGTTTGCAGTCTATTTTACGATACATGCTCAGGTTTGCCTTGTATTGGATTGGACAACTCGTGCAGTTGCAGCAGTATGCGCCCAATTCTGTCAATGCGATTGGTGGACTCCATGATGAGCAGGCAATAGGGCAGTATGCGCGCTCTGTTTGATAGGTACTGCAGTGCATGTCCTGCAGGCTCAGCCTGCTGTTACCCGAAACACACCAGCGCACTACATATGCACGTTATTTCTAGCGACACAGCCTTGTTTCCATCTTTATATCCCAGCCGACATGTGTTCTACATGCACCACGAGTATGCATATACTACCGTGATAATTCCACACGGCATTCGAGACTTGAATGCAATGCGGCCGAATAGGCGCTTCCTCAATCTATTTGGAGACATCGCAGGGCATATACCGTGAGCTATAATCATGCACCGCCTCGCTCGGAGAGTCGATGCCGCTACCATCAAGGCAAGTCTAATTATGGCAAGCCTCAAATAAAATAGTAAGACCAATAGACGCCGACAACTCCCC